TTACCATCAGGTAATCCGTCTCCATAAGCTTTCTGTATAAATAAAAAAAAATAATATATAAAACTAGCTACTCTCGCGCGGTTTCACCCGCTGTTCGTCTCCATTTGAACGTAGCGTGATGTTTTATAGCCTATAGCAGTAGGGAACATTGTAGCTATCTATCGGTGAAAGAGTTTTGGCAATCCGACCAGCAGTTCCAAAGATTACCTCCTACATACAAACTTACAAATTGTACAGTATAGATACATTTATAAAACTACTCACCCGTATTATGCCTGGCTGATACGCTAAGATGACGTTTATGAGCCTCCGACGATACGAAGCGCACGTTACACAGCTCACACAACGGACCGTCCTCGGGGATCTGGAAATATATTAAAACAATTTTACTTTTGAATTAATTTACTAACAGGTCGGCCTTCATTACTACTTAGTGCGCGTGCTCATATGTGTGTGTGTGTGTGTGTTTGAGAGAGAGAGAGAGAGAGGGGGGGGGGGTAAAGAGAGAGAGAGAGAGGGGGGGTAAAGAGAGAGAGAGAGTGAGTGAGAGAGACAGACAGGGGGGGGGGGTAAAGAGAGAGAGGGGGGGGGGGGTAAAGAGAGAGAGAGAGTGAGTGAGAGAGACAGAGAGGGGGGGGGGGGTAAAGAGAGAGAGAGAGAGGGGGGAAAAGAGAGAGAGAGTTAGTGAGAGAGACAGAGAGAGAGAGGGGGGGTAAAGAGAGAGAGAGAGAGAGGGGGGTAAAGAGAGAGAGAGAGAGTGAGTGAGAGAGACAGAGAGAGAGAGAGAGAGATAATAATGTACCACCTAAGAAACACATTGTGGAATGCAATAAAATTTTTTTTTTTTTTTTATTGATTATAGGCTCGCGCTTGACCGCTATCTCACCTGATGGAAAGCGACGATGCGGTCGACGATGGAGCGCGCTTACCTAGAAGTAACCTATTCACTCTTGACTTAAAGATACACACACACTTAATTGAGTATTAAGTGTGTGTGTGAGACAGAGATAGTGTGTGTAAGGATGTGCGGTGCGTGCGTGCGTGTTTATTAGTGTGCGTTTGTGTGTGTATGTGTGTCCGTATTTAGGTTTGTGTGCGTGGGTGAGCGCGCGTGTGTATGTGTATGTAAAAACAAGAATCTACATCATCATCAGCCTGTTGTCGTCCACTACTGGACATAGGCCTCCCCAATAGCACGTCACTGAGCTCGATGTTCAGCTCTTCTCATCCAACCACTACCAGCTACACTGCGGATATCGTCAGTCCACCTAGCTGGAGTGCGCCCTACACTACGTTTGGCATATCAAGAAAAAGAAGAAAAATAAATATTAAAACTTACTTGTGAGTTTTCGAGACGATGTTTCAACTTCTTATGTAGCTCTATCCCTTTCGCACTGACAAAGGAATACCCGCAGAGCTCACATACAAAGTCGGAAGGATGCTTTATTCGAATATGCCCCATATATGTTGTGAATTTACTGCGAACAATAAACATAACTTTATTAACTACTGACATACGGTGAAGAAAAACAAACCTGAACTTATTAGTTTATGCTCAAACCTTCTCCGTGTGAGAAGAGGCCTTTGCTCAACAGGGGTTACTTATTGGCTGATAATGTGTGATGTGATGTGACAAACCTTCTCAGGACTTCCGCGAATAATTCAAGGCCAAAATTAGGTTAAGGTATTGTTGAGTTATTTCATCATCATAATTAGAAATTACTCGTATAAGTCCAGGTTTCGCGTGGCGGAATGAGCTCCGGCGCGATTTCATGGCAGAATGGAAGCAACGAATGTCGCAATCGAGGGCCGGGCACGCTTTTATAGCAGCGGTAAGACCCCTCTTTGAGGAGTGGCTTGAGAGACGCCACGGCGTCCTCACCTTCCGCCTGACGCAGGTGCTTACCGGGCACGGCAGCTTTGGTAGGTTCCTGTTTCGGATCCAGCGGGAGGAAATGCCCGAGTGTCGTCATTGCAAGACGAAGGCGAGCGAGTTTGTCCACCGGTAACGTGGATAAGCCGTAAACAAGAGATTTTAAATGTTGTAAAGCTATAAATAGCACGAATGGACCGGCTCGACCGAAGTGATACCACGGCCTCATAGAAAACCGGCGAGAAACAACCATAGCGCCGTATTTCGCCATGTGATTGAGGCTACCGGTGGCGAAATTCTCGTCTCGCCATCCCTTCTCAATTCCCAAAAGGGTGACAACGCGTTCATAGCTCGTCTGGTGTTGTCCATCCATTAGATGGTAAGCAAACCGTGCTTACCATCAGAAAACATATACATCACTCTCGTCACATAACAAACATAAATAACTGTTCGCGACGATAGCTATTTGTTAAAGTTATAGGTAAATGAGAACTCGTTGACTATAAATAAATTATAACACTCTTACTAATATGTATTATAAATGCGAAAGTTACGATTTTTGGATGTATTTTACTCAATCACGCCAAAACGGCTGGACGGATCTGAATGAAATTTGGCACAGGCATAGGCTATTTCTTATCAACATACCACGCGGGCAAAGCCATAAATAAGAATAATAATATTGAATTAGAATAATTACCAATTATAATTATAAGTAAAATGGCTGACCGTTTTAGTCGTGGCGTGTACACACGACGACGTCCGATGCTCTGTCTCGCTCTAGCCGCGTCGGTGTGGAGCCAAGCCTCAACAGTAACAAATTTGAATATATATAAGTACTTACACGAATTCATCTTGGCAGTGTGGACATCTGTACTTGGTGCCTTTATGCCATCGCTCGTGAAGTCTGGCTGTCTGTCTGTGTGTCGTCACGTACGTACACTGTTTGCAACTAAACCTGTATAAATAATATATAATGATTATTAATATAGTATCCTTTTTATAACAATTTTTTTTTACTTGCAATAAACTACTTCTTGACTGCGATCCCACCTGATGGTAAGCAGTGATGCAATCGTTGATGGTAAGGCGCACTAGTTTATTAAGAGCCTATTCACTCTAGCCTTGAAGACACCTAAATTATATTCGGATGGAAAGACTGCAGTCGGCAAACTGTTCCAATCCCTCGATGTACGCGGTATAAATGACGAGGCAAAGCGCTTAGTCCGGGCCGCAGGTGTCTCAACAACGTAGGGGTGGATATTCGCCGTACGCCGGGATGTCCGAAGGTGAAATTGTGATGGCGGAATCAAATCGTGCATACAAATACGTGGATATGAATGAAATTTACACAAAGCAAATTCCTTCGTGGAACATTGATGTTTTTTTTTTGTAGGACGAAGTGTCACTGTTCCTGGCTTAAAACTGACGAGGAAAAAAGGTTATGTAATAAATTGTGGGACAGACTCAATTATTTTAAATATACGTCTTACTAACATAGACTTTTCGAGTAATGCTCGACCACTTTCAAGTGACACGAGAACTTAAAAACCACGTTTTTTGTTTTTCTTTCAATTAGTTGACGCTAATAAACAGTATTAATTAGGTTTAGGTAATTAACTAAATGTAAACAATCTTGGCATGTCTTTTAACATAAAAATTGTACGCAAAAATTTTTACAATCAGGTATTTACCTAAATCGATGTTAGCTAATAAACTAAATTTAAATTATATTTGTGTGTGTATTTTATACAACCTCTTTAATATAAAAAGACATATAAAGATTGTTAACCTTTAGTTAACATTTTTTTTAAATCCTTGTGTCACTTGAAAGTAGTCGAGCATTACTCGATAAGTTCCTGTGAGTACATTTTTTTGTTAACGTATTGTTCAAGACGATAAGGTCTATATCGGTTTGTTTGGTGAAATAAAACTTTTTAATACGTCTTTACTCAAGGGGTATTTATTGCACACTGCCTCCTTTACAATTTCTTTTTAGATTAGTGGACTGTATGAACGTAATTTGATTGTGTGAAGTATGACTGTGTGCGTGAAAGGTTGCCACTAACTTAATGTGAACTTTATTTATTTAGACAGTATAGTTGACTCATTTCTCTCGTCCAGATAGAGGCAAGAGGGAATGTCCGACTCTTACTGACTTTAGTAGTATTTATATTAATAAGAAATTCTTTATTACCTTTGTGTGTGGTGTGCAGTTATATGTTTCCTTAAAGCATGGGGATGCTTGAAATGTGTCTTGCATATTTCACATTCGTGCTCACCACATTGCTGTAAAGGATAAAAAAATTAACGTCGAAGATCTGAATTTGACTGCACGGTTGGTGCGGTGGCTGGGCAACTGGCTGCCGCGCAGCGTATCGCGGGTTCGATTCCTGCACGGAAAAACTCTTTGCATGATCCACAAATTGTTGTTCCGGGTCTACGTGAGATGTGTATGTGAAATTGTATGTTTGTAACCGCACCCACGACACAGGTGAAAATCCTAGTGTGGGGCAACGTTTTTTACGCTCTCGGTATGAATGGGTAGGCTCGACCGGAGTGATACCTCGGCCTCACAGAAAACCGGCGTGAAACAACCTCAGCGTTGTATTTCGCCGTGTGAGTGAGGTTACCGGAGGCCCAATCCTACCCTTTAAATCCTTATACCCTGAAAGATCGTCAACGTACTTGCAACTTCTCTAGTGTAACAAGCGTCCATGGGCGGCGCCGATTGCTTACCATCAGGTAATCCGTCTTCCCATAATTTGCCCTATTTAAATTTTTCTTATTTCTGCTATTTTACATTGAACTCACTCACACGGCGAAAAACTACTACTCTACTGGAGTGATACATTCCGGTAGAGGCGACCCATTTGTGCCGAAGCATGGCTCGCCCACACGGCATGGTACTCTCACGCGGTTTCACTAGCTGCTCGGCTCCTACAGATCGTAGCCGTATGTTTTATAGCCTACAGCACTCAGGAACATTGTAGCTATCTATCAGTGAAAGAATTTTGGAAATCCGACTAGCGGTTCCAAAGATTACCCCCTACATACAAACTTACAAATTTTACCTCTTTATAATATTAGTATAGAAGTATAGAAAATCAATAATACTAATACTTACATCAGTATGTCTGGTAATATGGCTATTATACGCATCCTCGTCCAGAAATCCTTTAAAACAATCAGTACATTTAAAAACGGAATTCTTATAATTCGAACTTTCCCGCCTTTTGGCTATTTCAGCAATCTGCTCTTCAAAAGACAAATCAGTTATCGTGAAAAGAGTTTCGTTGAGATCATCGTTCAAAAAAGGTTTTCGTCTCCTGTCGATTTTCGGCTCAATCTGCTCCTTAACCTTTTTAACTTTTTTAACTTCTTTCGGAGGTTTCTTATCTTTTATCTTTCTCTTTTTAGACTTTTTCATTTTACATATTTCTAGTGGTAAATTATCGTCTGTGGAATAATTGTCATTGTCCAAAGAGAATTCTTTTTCGGAGAACTCTTTTTGGTCACAATCTATATTATTTTGTTCGTTCAGATCCTGTTTTTCATTTAAAACTTCAGTTAGAAATATTTCGTTTTCCTCTTTTATTTCTATGTCGCATTGTTTCTCGTCTATTATTGTTTCTGGTTCCGTATATTCCATGTAATAATCGAAATTATTTGGTACCAAACTTTTTTTTACCAAACTACTTGTTAATTGATTATTGTATCTGTTTATAGTTTGAATATTTTCTTCTGTAAGCTGTTGGAGAAGGTTTTCAATTAACATAAAAAAAACTAGGCTATATTTTTAAAATGTTCCATTAATTCCCGGTGTTTAGAGTAATTTTTACGGTTCCGTAGTAAACTAGGAACCCTAATGGTTTTGCCATGTCTGTCTGTCTGTCTGCGGATCTCAGTGACCGTTAACACTAGAAATATAAAATTTGGCAAATACAGCTTAGCATTTAGGTACTGTCATGCAAACTCAAAGTGTAAACAATAATTTCAGCTCAATCGGTTCAATAGATCTATTTAGCTACAAGATTGCACTTCACAAACATACATTGCAAGTTAAATAACTAGAGACCAGTGGATGTTTTATTGTATACTAGCTTTTGCCCGCGACTTTGTTTCCGTGCAATAGTAACTTCCTGCAGATTTTTGGTTTTACCCACATAGTTACCGATCTTGAGGGATTTTTGGGAAAAAAATATTCTATGTCCTTTCTCGAGTTCAAAAGTATATCTGTACCAAATGTCACACAAATCAGTTCAGTAGTTTAGGCGTAAAGAAAACAAAGACGGACAGACATAGCTACTTTCGCATTTATAGTATTATATAGTTTGGATTTGGATAGTTTGAATTAACTGTGGAAAAAAATATCTAATATCGGCATTGCATCCGTGCAAAGTCAGGGCGAGTTAGTAGTATAACATTAAAAAAAATACTTACGAAATTCTGTTTCTTGATGACTTCTAGTAGCAGAGAATTAGCTCTTAGACTTTTTAGCCGAAACTTATTACAATTTATTAATCTTTGCACACATTCCGTGCACAACTTCTGCGGTAATCTATCTTCTGTGCATACCTGTAACGGACAAACAAACAATTATTATATCTTAACTAGCTTGATATATCAGTCACCTATTTTATAATTAAGTTACCGGTTAGCAAGTGAGATTATAATCAACTAGCCACTCTCGCGCGGTTTCACCCGCTGCTCGGCTCCATTTAATAAATAAAGCGGTTCCAAAAATTGCTCCTTTTTTATGTAATAGGTCGGCAAACGAGCAGACGGATAACCTGATGGTAAGCAATCAGCGCCGCCCATGGACACCCGCAACGGAGGAGTTACGAGTGCGTTGCCGACCTTTTAGGGATTTGAGATTTAGGGATTAAGGAGGGATTGGGGGCGGGGAAGGATTGGGCCTCTGGTAACCTCACTCACACGGCGAAACACAACGCTGTGGTTGTTTCACGCCGGTCTTCTGTGTAGTAAACTAGATACGAACTTACAAATTTTACCTCTTTATAATATTAGTATAGATATATAAATACGTACCGATAATCCCGTTACATTTTCATACGCTTGTTCTAATCCGTATGACCTTAATGGCACTAATTTGGTATCCATATCAAGGCAGATCCGGCACACCTGCAACAGAAATAAAACTATTTCAATTTTTTTTTTTATGTGGGAAAATTATCAAATCAATTCCTCCGTCCTGGGTGGAGGAAAATGGGAGTGTCAGACTCTTACTCACTTACGGAGCGAGAGGAATTGGGAAGCCGTCTCCTCTTTCTACGAAACAGTGAAGCTTGCAAAGGAGGAGGCGGCGCGCGCGAGGGAACTATCCTCCTCACGCCCCAGCCGCCGCAGTAGGCGACACTGCGGGCGTCAGGGATCAAGAGATGATCTGCGGCCACCGTAAGCGCGGGTTTGCTGTCGGCGAGTAAGGGTAGCTCGCCGCCCGACCAGAACCAGACCCGAGCGTAAGGCGCGTAGCGTTCCGCGCGCGCCTCAAAGAGCCAATAGACCACCACAGACGGGGCCCTATAGGGCTGATGTTCAGCCGGGGTGGCGGGGTAAGCGCAATGAGGCACCGCGACCTCGGCCTAAAGCAGGAGAAGGAACAGGGGCGATTTTAGTCAGTAAGAGTCTGACACTCTCTCTCGCCTAACCCTAGGCGGGAGAAGTCACTCGATGATTTTCCACTGACAAAAAAAAAATTAACACATTCGTAATTATTCTGTAAAGTATTGCGTGAGTTCGTGGGCAGCGCCGATTGCTTACCATCAGGTAACGCGTCCTTATTATATTATTTGCGGTCTTATTTAATAAAATGATGTAGGTACATACCTTCAAGCTAACAGACTCCCCGTAGGCATCACATATATTAGAATCCTGTAACACAAAGAAAAAATAACATAAGTTGTATGTTCTCCTAACCATTAATGGGTAGGCTTATGAGAATATTAGCATTTGCCTGCGACTCCGTTCGCATGGAATAGTCACTTTCCGCAATTTTTTGGTATAAAACATATGCTATGTCCTTTCTCGAGTTCCAAACTATGTCTGTACCAAATTTCACAGAAATCAGTTCAGTAGTTTAGGCGTGAAGAAGAGATAGACAAACAGAGTTACTTTCGCGTTTATAATATTAGTATAAAGATAGTATGGATATTAGTATAGACGTATGGAGGTTGGTATGAACTATGTTCTAAGTAGTCAAATTCAATACTTTTATCAAAATGGCAAAAACATAGATTTATAACAAGTAGGTATAAATCTATGGGCAAAAATGATACTTTTCGAAGAAACTGTAAATTATGTTGAGTCAAACATAGTTTTGTTTCACAGTCCTTTTGAGTAAAACAGCTTACTTATTTAATTGTGTTGAAACATCGAATTAGTTTATTTTTGACTAAGGAAACTACACATTTATGGCACACCGAAAGAATGAGAGAAAACAATCAACCATCTATGAGGAAAGAGATAGTGCTTTACGGAAAGCATAGGCCATCTCTCTCACTCTTATCAAACTAAAAAATTACTGCCAACGGTGCCTATTATGGCATGTCCATTAGTAGGTATATGTCGAAGCGACTGTACAAGATGTCTGGAGTCTTCTCAAATCAAGCAAAGTATTGCCATTACTGTTATTTATTTGTACATAGTTTTCCAAGAATTTCTCAATATTTTGTAATAAGAATTCGCACTTAGATTTTTTAATGTGTTGTGGGTGTATTTACAATCTTACACATCACACCCAGATCCGAAACAACAATTTGTGGATCACAAAGAGTTGTTATGTCCGGAAATCATATCATAACCAGCCACAGCACCGAACTGTGTAGACAACACACATTATGAGTGACACCCACCCTTGGTACCAACTGTTAAAAATATTACCTGTACAATCAAAGGCACCGCTCCCATCCTGACCTTTCTCAGCCCGCTGTTAGTTTCATACAGATCTTCGCAAAGGAAATGTTCGGAACACACTGCACTCCTGTCTCTAGGCTCCCAGGCCTCTTTACCGAGAGCTTTGAGCCATGCTGTGCGTAGCGCAGGCTCAGTAGGAAATCTGAAAGTGTTATAGCCAATTTTATTTGTTTCTTTATGTTTTTTTGTTAGTTTATTTGGTAAAGAACAGAAGAATTTAATAATAAAATTTAAAAGTTTCTTCATAAAAAAATACTCTAAAGTCAAATCAAACTATAAAATAGAAGAGGTGAATTAATCATAAAAGGATATATATTTATTATTTATACACTTATATGAATATATGTATATGCATATATATGGATACCCATGAACATTTATATTGGTCATGAGTCAGACTTCTGACTGTCCAATTCTCTAGTATCCTATTCTAGCTATATCTTATAAATTTTTGTATGGAGATGTAAAAATTTTTTGCTCAGAAAAACCTTCATATACATGCTTATCTTTCATGGGACACTGCAGCAAATGTGTATATTATGTCACCTGATTGACCTGATTGTAAGCAATTAGTGCCACCCACAGAAACATTTAATAATTTTATGGATTAAGCTGATTTTTCATAAACAGTAAATCCAGTTGGTTGTGAATGATTATATTTTAAGGTTTCATGAAATCTAAACTAAACAAATTATGTAAAGAATATTAATAAACTAGCAACAATTCAACTTACTTATAGTCATAAGTAGTACTTAACAGATGTGAGAAAAATAGTGTTAAAAACTCGGGTTTTTAATAATTTAAGATAGATATTTTAGTTTTGTTTATTGTTTCAAATTGTTAAATTAGTATAGGAAAATCTATGGTATTAACTACTTCTGTTGTGTATTTAAAATAATTAATTTATTAGTTCTTATTTATTTCTATTTTGTGACAGTGTTATGTTATGATATTATTCGTGATAGAAAATAAATAAAAACATTCTTCAATTTTAATAGACCAATTTATTAATATAAAGACGAAATTATAGATCCGAATAGAATTTTGTACATAAATATTGACATTATAGTCTGGAATAATATTATTATGCTACTTTTTGCCGTAGTACAGTATGTAGAGGCGAAACCACTGGCACTAATTAAGTAAAATATAAATAAACATTTAAAAAAAGATATATTGCATAGAAAATGTTAATTTAAACACATGAAATAGTAGTAATGTGTCATTTAAGTACCGAATGCTACACAAACTCATTGAATTTCTAACACGAAATAAGAGTTAAAACTTACGCATGAAATGTAATTCCTTGAGATTTAGATATGTGTCGCGAATCATTCTTGCAATCAGGAACACAGCACCTCATTTTTAATGTTTATTTGTCTCAGTAAATATAATTAATACAAGTGCGAAATCGTAACGTAAAGTGTGAAAGTTAAGCTTCATTTTATACGAACGAATAACATATTTTCGAGAATTTTATTGAAAACACTTGTGTTTCATATACTACAATCACATTTAGCAACAATATAAAGTTAGTTTTATTGCAAACCAATTTTAATTAGCAAAATTCTTATAGTAATTGACTGTCATTACAATAGCCGACAAATTTGATGCGGATAAATAAAATACTAATGTCACTAAATGCCATTGTTTTCTTTGTGCTCTTCACACTTGATAGAACGATTGTGTGAAAAAAGAAGACAGAAAATTACGGTTGTCAAAATGTATACTTCTGAATATAGTAGCATTACAATAACAATGTATGTAAACATAAGTATACATGATTACTCTTACTCTTTCGCACATTGGGATAAGTTATCTAGATAGAAGGAGATAAAAGAAAGAACGCTTTGATGCAGTTGACCTTGTAATTTGTAAAAATATACTAAACTACGGGATAGAAAGTAGTAGTTGTATTTTGTTGAAGAAAAGAAGTGAAATAGTTGATAAATACTTTGATTAGGTATCATTTATACTCGCCGCATTCAGTGGAAACTGTTCAGGCACTGAACGAATGAACAAATTCTCCAAACACCTGGAGGAGGTGGGACCTCAGAACTTGGAACCTGGTGGCACCTAAATAAACTAGTAAATACAAGAGGGCGTTGCGCGACTCCGGTTAAAAATCGCCCCTGTTTACTGTTGACCCCGTCTGTCATCTGTGGTAGTTTTTGAAGCGCTTGCGGAATGCTACAAGTTGTACGCTCGGGTCGACTGGTCGGCGGGAAAGCAGTCTGAAGACCCGCGTTTGGTTAAGGTGGTAAGGTTGTTGGGCGATTACATCTCTGACACGCGTAATACCCTCCTACTGCGGCGACTAGTGTGTGAGGATGATAGCTCCCCCACGCGCTCCGCCTCCTTCTTTGCGAGCATCACTACATCGTAGAAAGAGGAGACGGCTTCCTAGATTCTCTCGTTCCGCACTAGGACCTCAACTATGATCGGACGGAAAAGGTCACCGACGACGATCACTTCCCTGAGGATGTGGCGGTGCTCAGTTCAAGAAGAGCTCTCCGCCACCGTATGCTCCACCTTGTACTCCAGGTGTTCCTCAAAATGCCAACACTCATTCCATTTCCTCAAGACGGGATCCGAAACAGTTGTACCTACAGAACAGAAAATTAAGTAGAAGTGCCCCTACCGTGGTTGTACATACCTACCGAAGTTTGAAAACAATAACTCATAATATTGTGTACTCTGTGCAACAACTAGTTTGACATTATTGAATTGCCAATGACAACTTGACAAGTTTGACAACTCCTAACAAAATTGTTTTGACAATTCTTCTACGAGTGAAATTTTCTTGCAATCAAGAGGAAATGCAGCAGTTTTTGGAGTTTCGTAAATCATAATTATATTAAATAAACTTTAACGCATAGTTAGCATGAAGTGCTTTATTCAAAACTGTGTAAATAGTGATAAAATAAACAAAATAAGTGACGGCAGGGCCTCGACTCCACATAGGATTACTTTCCACACGTAAGCATACGAAAAATAAATATAAAAAAGTTAAATATGTACAATAAAAATAGAAGAAATATTTACAACATTTATTAAATAGTTAGTTAAAAGTAGGCCCCTCAATCTCATTTTGCATAAACTTTAGTTTTACTTTATATTAAGTATAAATGTTATAAGAATTTAATGTTTTTTTTTGTTTTTTAGTAAAATTAAAAACTTTGTTTTTTATTCTTTGGCGTGGTACCTAACGACTGCTAGATCTTTCGTTTTGTATTTTTAATTCACTGAAAGAAGTTTACATACATTAATATTTTTGTATTGATCTTATGGGTGCCTATTCATTAAACAAATATTTTAGTTATTTTTTAATACAGTTTACAATAAATCTCCCTTTTATTACTCCTACCCCTACCACCCTGGGTGGGGCAAAAGGGAGATTCTTCACAGCAATTTAACAAGTCATTACCATCAACACAAAATTAACAATCCTGTAGATTGACAAAGAATTAATAATTTTATTAAATTAAATCACACCACCACAACCAATTAAAAATAATGGTAATAATCAGTCAGTAAAATGATCAAAAACTCAGGATATTAAGCCTAGGATATTGCCTTGTAAAATACCTGGTTTTCTAAAGAGACACCTTCAAAATAATGAATAACTTACACATTCCTTCTCCTGCTTTGAAACAAGACAATTGGGTAGTTTTCTAGGTCTAAATAAAATAATTCAATGTTTGAATATAATAAAATATTGAATAATAACTATAGTTTTATTCATCGATCAATCAATACACTAAGTTTTAAATATTTTTAAGCTAGTTTTTAAGAAATAAGTAAGCTATTTGATGCAAAATACTCGACAAGATGTCATAACTCAGTATTTCATAGAAAAGTTTATATTTTGACATTTGGATAAAAGTATTGAATTTGACTAGTTGGAAACTACCATATTGTGCTTACAGTAGCAAGTTATACTGTCTCACATAAAGAAACAAGTATGTGATGTAACCTTTTACTAGAGCCTGAAAACACTTCGAGCCAGTCAGGAGGCTGATGATCATAGTCATATTCAGCGGTGGATAAAACTTGGTGACCCTGCTATGTTTTAATGAGATCTCCTTTTGCCTATATTCAACCTGACGTCCTAGATATTTGCCTAGTCTATTTTTACCTGAGATCATGAGATCTGCTTTTCTTCTTTGGCGTGTTCTCGCCTGCGAACTGTTAACCTGGATCCATGACCACTTTCAGTTTTAGCGTGTCCACAACCTGGCGCCCTAGAAACTTACCTCACTAGCATTTTCTCCTGTGTTGTGGCTGTGTTTACAAACATACAAATCACACCCAGACCCGGAACAACAACTTGTGGGAATCCAAGCCCCCGACACGTTTCGCCGCAGCCAGTTGGCCAGCCACCGCGTTAACCGTGCAGTCTTAAATTTGTCTTAAACCTGGCGACGGCGCTAGGCAAGCTTCTTTATTTTAGCGCGTCTACAACCTGTCTAATAATTTAATTATTATGAGATTTGCTTTCGTACCTTTCGCGTCTTCTTTGGCCATGGGCACATTTAGCGGCCCTCCGCAACCTGGCGCCTTGACTATTTGGTCGTTAGTATAACAGGGCTCTGTATAAGGATCTATAAGTTTAGTGTGTTTCAAGATGCAATTTATAACAACCAAAGACTCACTCTTATTTAAAAACATTTATAATATTCGGAACAATCGTTTTAATAATCATTTACTAAAGAACATGGTACAATACGCGAGGAGGGAAGGGTAGTGCCGGGTTATCCTAGCGCGCTGCACATTATATTTTTTTCCTTTTTTCTAGCCTGCGATCAGTCTTCTCAGACTGTAATCAGATGAGCTGCAAGAAATTGGGGTTTGGCGACGTAGAGACACTGCTCCAACTCCCCAAAATATTTATATCAATTTTAAATTAGCTTTTCTATTTTAATAAGCCGGTGTTTGGCCAATTTCTCGCCTGGTGGTAAGTGATCACGCGACCTACAATGGAACCGAATAAATTGGTTGTTTACGTGTATGTAGACGTAAGCAACCAATTCACTCAAGCCTTGAAGACACCTACCTACCCTTGGGGAACACAGACTTCGTTAAAGAATTCCACTCCTTACCGGTTCTGCTTCAATACGAATCGCTTCGGCGGGTGGGACATCCATTTAGTACAATGGTTAAGCCTACACTTTGGAACGAGCAAATAGCTTCACTAGAGGACAGACGGACAGACTGACACATATAAAGTTAAACCTTATGATATCTTTTTTGCTTGACGTTCATAAGTGCCTTTTGTGGTCTACTTGAAATAAAGAATTTGATTTGATTTGATTTGATAAGGTTTAAGTATTTTTTTTGCAGATTCCCAAAAGATCCGAAGCAGCGTGCCGCCTGGTTAGAATCTCTGTGTATTCCAAGTTTTACGGTGACTCCGAAACATGTGATATGCTCCGAACATTTTAAAGAGGATGACTTCTATCAAACCAAACTCGGGACCAGACGAGTGAAGTATGGCGTGGTACCTGTTATAAATGTAAGTAATTAATAGTTTTTAAATCCTACTAATATATGAGAAAGGAACTACTAACTGTTATTGTAGGTACTACTGTTAATGATTATTTTTTGTTACAGTATGATCAACAACAGCCGGCATCTAGGGTGAGTGACAATACACACTTTTTTGTAACATTTTAAATATGGAAACAAAGAAAAAAGTAAGAAAAAAGCATTGATTTTCGCGCAACCTTTTTTTTGTATTTTTGTTTAATGTGTGTGGCATTAAACAAAAATACAAAAAAAAGAAGAAAATAAAATAATACTAAAAATCTAAACTAAATGATACAGATAAAAATGAAATGATTTTAAATATAATAATAACAAAAGAAAAAAAAACAAAACCTTTTGTCTATGGTCCACAGAATATAACATTATGCGTGAGGTCGACGAAAAATGCAAATAAAAGACCAATATAAGTCTTCCATTTCTTTGTGGGAGCAAAAGCCAATCATAAATTTGGAGATCCGAAAACGACCAAAAGTCGTTGACGTAACCCAGCGCATTAGCAAGCAAAAGTTGCACTAGGCATACTACTCGGTGAACAGTCAGTTCTCAAATATATATCATACACCACCAGCCTATAAGTGCCAACTGCTGAGCAAAAGCTTCTTCTCACACGGAGAAGGTTTGAGCATTAATCACCACGCTTGCTCATGATAAGACGGCAAACGAGCCACGTCGTTTAACCTGATTTTAAGTTATCTGTGTAGACCATGGACATTCGCAACACTAGACAAGGACGTCGCTAGCCGATGGCGCAGGTGGGGTGGGGGTCAAGACTACAAAAGTATGAATTTAGTGGGTGACTACTACTATTTTTTTTTTTTTGTAAACGATCGGCAAACGAGCTTACGGATTACCTGATGGTAAGCAATCAGCGCCGCCCATGGACACTCGCAACGGAATAGTTACGAGTGCGTTGCCGACCTTTTAGGGATTAGGGATTTGGAGATTTAGGGATTGAGGAGGGATTGGGGGAGGGGAAGGATTGGGCATCCGGTAACCCCACTCACCCGGCGAAACACAACGCTTTGATTATTTCACGCCGGTTTTCTGTGAGGCCGTGGTATCACTCCGGTCGAGCCGACCCGTTCGTGCCGAAGCATGGTTCTCTCACACTTATTCACACTTTTCATACGATTCATACTTTTCTTCCTTATGAGTGGGAAATGTAGGTATCGATTGTAGGTAAAGTCACACGTTTACATGTTGCTTCCCCGCTCTCCCTCTCTCCGAATAGAGTAGAGCGTATTTCTGTGCAGTAGCGTAGTGTAATTGGTCAATTCATTTGAGTTTCGACGTAAGGAATAATGGTTCGAGGCTTGAACTTCAAACAAATCAACTCAAAGAGATTGGCATTTTTTTTATTCTCTTTAGGAGGGTAGCTGCCCCTCCCCACCCCCTCCTTGGCGACGCCCTTGACACTAGAGAATTGTCGCCCTTTTCGGGATTAGGGTTTCGGATGTTTAGGGATTGGAACTCCAGTTGTTTCACGCCGGTTTTCTATAAAGCCGTGGTAACGCTCCAATCTAACTTTCTCAGAGAATTATTTAAGGAATCTAAAATAATGACAGTTGCCTCTCAATATATTTATGAAAATGTAATTCACGCTCATAAAAACAAAAGCTTATTTAAGAAATATAGTGATATACATAATATCAACACGAGGGGGAAAAACAAATATGTTGTGCCTGCCTCCAGGCTTCAGAAAATAAGTAGTTCGTTTAGGTGTCAATGTATACGCTTTTACAATAAAATTCCTAGCGATATTCAAAATTTGAGCCTCAATAAATTTAAAAGTGTAATAAAGGCTAAACTTTGCTGTAAAGCATTTTATAAAATAAAAGACTACTTAGAGGATAGTCAGGCTTGGGAATGAGCCGCTGTAATGTCTGCACAGGTCATGTTGACATGTTTGTAACATAAGTTACACTTTTATATACAATTTGACATTACGTTTATTTTTTTTTTATACAATGACATGATCACATAGTGTGACATTTTTATTTTTTATTTGACATTTTTTTTTATTTATTTGTTGACATTTTTATTATTTTATATTATTGTTAGTGTAAGGACCGTGTGAGACTTGTCGTGCTTTTTTATCACCAGTCATCTGCGTTCTGACAGTTTGAGTACTTGCGCGACCCACCCAAATGTTCTTTTGATCGGTATTGTTCGTCGGACAACTCAACAGCACTAGCTATATGGTTGCAAACTGACACTTGCGTGCCTGTCTTCAGAACGGGTCCACTTAAACTGGTGTGGTTCTTTCCTCAAAAGACCACTACAGAATGAACTTGCACGGTTCTCTCACATTATGTTATTTTATATTGTCTGGACTTGAAAAGAGACTGACCTCTGAGTTTGTTTCGGCATTTCTTCTCAGAGTAGTCAGATAGGAAATGCCGGCTTCATCTAGTTTTTCACATATAATTTGACGTGTAAAAGTGCCGTTTTAAGGCCTATTTGCAAAAATAAATTCATTGTTTCATTGTTAACCAATTCATTCGTGCCGAAACATGGCTCCAGTGCCGGCGTTAGGGTGGGGGGGACTCGTGATAGGGCGATGGCCCAGGGTGACAAATTCTGGAGGGCGCAAGGCCTGAAGTTGGGGTCTCTTGCTTTTCTTGGTGCAAACCCTCAGAACTGTGCTCTACGCTCTGTGCATATGCATATTTTTTATGGATTTTTTTTTAAGATGGATCTTTTGAAGGTTTGTGGTCGAGGAGTAACCCTAACGATATCAATACGATCAGCAAAAAACTGACACTTGATATTGCTTCCCTGGAGTGGGCGCCAATATAGTTTCGCCCGGGGTGTCAGTGGCCCTTACGCCGGCACTGCATGGCTCTGCCACACTTAAGCTAATATTTACATTTCTTTCAGGTCTGCAAGTTATGTCTCAGAATAGATGCGAAAATGTATGATCTTAAGGAAGACAGTTTAAATAAGATGTATCAATATGTTGTAGGAATTGAGGTGAGATTATCTTTAAAAATATACTTATTACTAATTTAGTAGCTCCCATAAGATTTCATTCTGTATGTATCGTGGGTTGCGTTTACAAACATACAAATTCACATACACATTACACCTAAACCGGGAACAACAATTTGTGGATCACACAAAGAGTTATTCCGTGCGGGAATCGAACCCGCAACACGTTGCACGGCAGCCAGTTGCCCAGCCACCGCACCAACCGTGCAGTCAAAATTGGTCAATTCATTTTGCTTTGGATAGGCGGTACGTTGATTTAACGAATAATGATGCTGGTTTTTAATATGAGACTGTTTTAGTCATCATCATCATCATCAGCCTATAAGTGCACACTGCTGAGCAAAGGCCTCTTCTCATACGGAGAAGGTTAGAGCATTAATTACCACGCTTGCACAATGCGGGTTGGCGATTTCAAACTTATTACAAGGGATTATAAGTCCAGGTTTCCTCACGACGTTTACCTTCACCGCATGTCAGTGGTGTCTAAATAATCATAGAAAGTACATATAACTCGGAAAAAGTCACATTGGTACTTGCCAGGTTGCGAATTGCCGATTATCTAGTAGTCCGACGGTGGAAAAGACTAGAGGGAAGAACTGTGAAGTGGAAAGTGGAGTTGTGTAGCTCTTACGAACATTCTCCGAAATGTATCCGATAAAAAATCGGAAGACTTGAAACTTTGCGCATGTGTTCGAGGCTTTGAAGTCGGACCTCCACTAGTGCATCGTTGTTAATGAACCTCTTGGCTCTCAATGTGTTCTAAGTAAAATTACTATTATTTGTAGACAGGCAGGCAGTTGAAACAACTGATAATGCCCGCATCCTGTTAATTTCCACTAGTTAATTTCTTGCAGTTGAGTAAATATATATCCAGTCGTTTTTTAAATTGGTTCAAATTTAGGGCTGAAACCACATTTTCCGGGAGCTTGTTCCACGCTCCAACTACTCTATTGCTGAGAATTATAGCATTGTTCATTTGTAAAAGTACCCACGATACACGATATGACAGGAGACAACACAGTATGGGATCACGTTAGCAAAATTTCATCTGACTTTTTCCTTCATCAGCCTAGAACAGACTCCAAGGATAGGTTTCCAATGAACATATGTTGGGAATGCAAATCACGGTTACAATCAGCGGCTGCTTTCAAAACAACAGCGTTGACCAGCGACCGGTTACTTCATGCTCAATGAGGGTTGTCGATTTCAAACTTATAATTAGAAATTATAAGTCCAAGTTTCCTCACGATGTTTACCTTCACCGTATGTCAGTGGTGCCTAAATAATCATAGAAAGTTCATATAACTCGGAAAAAGTCACACTGGTACTTGCCAGGTTTCAAAACCACACCCTCGTGTATGAGAAGCGGTCGCCTTAACCTCCAAATAAAATATTAAAATAGGTTAACCATACTTAATTTTTACAACCTTACTTAATTTTCGCATTTTATCAGGTAATTTTTAAGAAATTATAAGTAGTTTAAGTCAACAAGATGACACAACTCGCTATCTCGTAAAAAAAGATTGAAAACTGTTGTTCTTGGCATAGAGGAATAATATTAACATGGCCCTTTTAAAACAAAAGAGTAACTATGGAGTTTCTTGCTCATTCTTCTCTATACGAATCTATACTTGGGTTGGGAACGAGCAAATAGCTTCACTGACGAATAAATTGACAAAATATTATTCTATTTTAAAGTTTATAAAGTTCCTGTTAATGGTTAAGTTGGAATTAATGATTTTCATTTGACTTGATTTTGTGTTAGTTCAACTGATAAAGGCTTATTTTTTTTTTTGTTTTTATATGTAATCGGTCGGCAAATGAGCAGACGGATTACCTGATGGTAAGCAATCAACGCTGCCCATTGTCACTCGCAACGGAGGAGTTACGAGTGCGTTGTCGACCTTTTAGGGATTAGGGATTGAGGAGGGATTGGGGGAGGGGAAGGATTGGGCGTCCATTTATATTAAACACGATCTAATATTTCAACTAATAAAATCTTATCTTACAGTTAAACATAACGGAAATATCAAAACTCTATCGAGAACATAATCTAAAATCAAATTTAATAATAAAAGAATTATATAATTACGACTATGAAGCGATCAATAGCACAGAATCAGACACATTCGTTAAAACAGAAACAACAGGCTATGCTATTGAAGAAGTTATAGATGAAAGTTCGCAAATAGATGAAATAGTTATAAAAAATGAAAATAATGTCACTGAAGATGATAAGAAAGCCGAAATTGATATAGCGCCTTCTAATAGCGAAGATAAATTTGAAAACGAAGCTCCTAAAGTAAATTGGGATAATATTATACTAGTGAAAACTCCAACGGTTACAGATTATCAATTCAATATTTCGGTTTTTGAAAATAATACCAAAATGGCTGAAGATGATCAAGCGATTGACGATAGTTTTGATATGAACATCGATGATGGTAACGATGTGGAAGAGAAGGTTGTGGATGAAAACCCTATAAGGAGGGGTAGGAGGAAAAAAGAGGAAGCTACGAAAAATCGGTGGATTGTGTAAGTTAATTTCGGACAGCTGATAGATCATAGTCTAGAAAAATATAATCTATAGTCGTACCCAATATATTTGATAATTTACAGGTCGCACAAGAAACCATACGTGAAACCGACTATTCCAATTGATGAAACTGTTTTCACAGTGAAAGCTCTGTCGCAGGAGCGTTTAATTGAAGAGGTTATGGCGCGCAAAAATAGCGCTCGATATTTGAGAGCTCGCTTCAAATGCACTGTTTGTTATAAAGGATTTCCAAATAAGGATAAACTCGACAGACATAGTTTGAAACATAGTGAGGTAAGACAATTTTGTTTTTGAAACTATATATTTTGACGGATCATTTTAAGTAAGAATTCGGCGCCGCCCATGGATCACCTACAACCATTAGACTCTACCTACTCTACTCTACTCTACCTACCCTACTCTACCTACCGTACTCTACCCACCCTACTCTACCTACGCTACTCTACCTACTCTACTCTACCTACCCTACTCGCTACCTACCCTACTCTAAACTATCCTACTCTACCCACCCTACTCTACCTACCCTACTCTACCTACCCTACTCTACCCACACTACTCTACCTACGCTACTCTACCTACCCTACTCTACCCACACTACTCTACCTACGCTACTCTACCTACGCTACTCTACCTACCCTACTCTACCTATCCTACTCTACCTACGCTACTCTACCTACGCTACTCTACCTATCCTACTCTACCCACACTACTCTACCTACGCTACTCTACCTACCCTACTCTACCCACACTACTCTACCTACGCTACTCTACCTACGCTAATCTACCTACCCTACTCTACCCACACTACTCTACCTACCCTACTCTACCCACCCTACTCTACCTACCCTACTCTACCCACACTACTCTACCTACGCTTCTCTACCTACGCTACTCTACCTATCCTACTCTACCCACACTACTCTACCTACGCTACTCTACCTACGCTACTCTACCTACCCTACTCTACCCACACTACTCTACCTACCCTACTCTACCCACGCTACTCTACCTACCCTACTCTACCCACACTACTCTACCTACGCTACTCTACCTACCCTACTCTACCCACACTACTCTACCTACCCTTCTCTACCTACCCTTCTCTACCTACCCTACTCTACCTACTCTACTCTAACCACCCTACTCTACCTACCCTACTCTACCTACCCTACTCTACCTACACTACTCTACCCACCCTACTCTATCCTATGTTCTTCTCCCAGTTCTTAGCTATCTCCCTACGAATTTTCAGCCAAATCGGTTCAGCCCTTCTTGAGTTATAAAAAGTGTAACTAACACGACTTTCTTTTATTTTTTTTCTTTTGTGCTGCGACGCACTATGGGCTTTTTGTGTGTGTGTACCTGTATTCCTTTTATATGTCGTGGCGTAATAAATGGTTTTTCTTTCTTTTCTTTCTTTCTTATATATAGAAGATTTCTCTGCATCACCCTTACGGTTGATATTTTTAAGGTCGTCTTTCTATGTATAACATTAACACACGGTTTCTGAAAGGCTTGTCAACGCTAAAATTAACTAATCTCCTGTTAAATCTCTTGTCAAGTCATCTGATTGGTTGTTGATAATTCAGTCAACCAATCAGATGACTTGACAAGAGATTAAATTGATTTTAACATTGATCGGCCTTTCGGAAACCGGTTGTAAGTGTTATATAAATTGTTTTGTTTCAGAAAGCGGGTCCATTAAAATGTGTGATATGTATGGTTCGTATGAAGCTAAGCAGACAAATGAGGGCCCACATGAAGAAACAACACACTTCGGAGTTTATATGTAAACTCTGTCCGTTGGTGACAAGAAATAGGTAATCTTTATTAACACTACATAGTATAAAACAAAGTCGCTTTCTCTGTCCCTATTATGCTTAAATTTTAACAAAAAAGAAACTTGTTTGTACAAAGAAATACATATTATTTTCATTAAGTTAGATAGAAAATTATATTTATAACTACATATTAATATAATCTTGAACTCGGTGCCAAGTAAAACAATAATAGTGAAAGAATTTTGGAAATCCTACCAGCGGTTCCAAAGATTACCCCCCTACATACAAACTTTACCTCTTTATAATATTAGTATAGATTATTTGTTTGATGATTAGTAGGTACCGATCAATATATTTTTCTAACACTGTTGTTGTTTGGTATGTAGCATTTACTCGTCATCGATTTGATGCAAGTTCCCCTCGATTGTCCTGGATTTCCATCATCAGATCCTGACCTGGTGAATATGGGACCACCTAGAAATCATAACCTACTGAATAAAAAAAAACCTTTCCAAATCAGTCCAGCCGTCTTCGAGTAATCTGTGTTAAAAAAAAGATCCCGACGAATTGAAAACCTCCTTTTTTGAAGTCTTCTTTTTCATTCTCTTCCAGGCATGTAGCACTCGGTCATATGAAGTTCCACGCCGGTAGTAAATACATGTGTCCACAGTGTGGTGTGCAATTCGAGTAAGTATCAAAGTCGAAATCAAAATCATTCATTTCAATGGAGTCCATCCCCTCTCCCCTCATCTCTTTATTACCAAACCCCCTGATCCTCAAACTTCTTTGTTTTTCGCCGTGTGAGTGAGGTTACCGGAGGCCCAATTCTTCCCCTCCCTCAATCCCTAAATTTCCAAATCCCTAATCCCTAAAAGGTCGGCAACGCACTCGTAACTCCTCCGTTGCGTATGTCCATGGGCGGCGCTGATTGCTTACCATCAGGTAATCCGTCTGCGCCTAACTCCTGTATCACATGTATATGGGCCGATGTGGGCTTCTTTTTTGTAAGGGTTGATTACATTTCCGCTAGTTTTCAATACTCAATATATTTATTGCATTCCACAATGTGAACTTAGGTGGTAGGGTACATAAGGATTTACATATATTAGTTTAAGAGCATTGTGGGCCCTGTCGGGCCTAACAATATTTAATTTTTAATGAGGAGGGCTAGTATTAATACATATATGTTTACAATTTTAGGTAGGTTTATATAGCTTATTCTATCTATACTAATCTATACTATCTGTAGTCTATATCTAGTTACAAGTGCGTTGCCGACATTTTGGAAATTAAGGATGTCAGATTTTGGGATAAATTGCGTTCGGTATCCTCGTTCATAGTCATACGGTGAAGCACAACGTAAGCATTATTCGCGTCGATTTTCCACATCACCCTGGTCATCGATGCCAAAATGGCAATACAATGTCTTCTTATATTTCAGAAAACAAACAACTTTATTGAATCACTTGCGGCTTAAGCACGTTTCTGATTGTGTTTGTGAGCTGTGCGGATACACGTTCGTCGGTGCCAACGGAGTACGGGCCCACAAGAGAATGAGGCATAGATTCGATGAACAAAGTGTAAGTTTGTATTAAAAACTAGCTTCTCTCGCTCGGTTTCACCCGCTTCTCTTCTCCATTTGATCGTAGCGTGATGTTTTACAGCACTGAGGAACATTGTATCTATCTATCAGTGAAAGAATTTTGGCAATCCGACCAGCGGTTCCAAAGATTACCCCCTACATACAAACTTACAAATTTTACCTCTTTATAATATTAGTGTAGACTAGTGACTTCCTGATCCTGACATTCTTGGTATAAAAACTGACCTACGTCCTTTCTCGAGTTCCAAACTATGCTAAATTTCATCAATTGGTTCAGTAGTTTAGCCGTGAAGATAAGACAGACAGACAGACTGATATACTTTCGCATTGATAATATTAGTTTGGATCATCTACATATACTAGTCTATACTAATATTATAAAGCGGTAAAATTTGTAAGTTTGTATGTAGGGGGTAATCTTTGAAACCGCTGGTCGGATTGCCAAAATTCTTTCACTGATACATAGCTACAATGTTCCTGATTGCTATAGGCTATAGGCTATAAAACATCACGCTACGCTTACATGGAGTCGTGAAGCGGGTGAAACCGCGCGAGAATAGCTAGTCACATTTAAGCATAGCCGAAAAGTCAAAGGCATTTTTGAGGGAGTGTCAGATTTTTACTGATCAAAGGCCACTTCTGTTCTTTCTTCTGCTTCAGGTCAAGATCTCAGTAGATTATTGAACTTCACCCGCAACGACGAGCTAAAAAATTTGATTAGTTAGAAATAAAATTACTTTATTCATTTTGTAGGAGCAACTGAAAGGACCGTACTGTGAAGTTTGTGATATAAAGTTTTTGAACAACAAGGCGTATAGGAAACATCTGCGGCTCTCCTCTAAGCATTTGAAGAGCGAAGATGACCCGTGAGTATAATTTTATATGTATAATTTTTGCTACAATTTTTTAACACAAATTGTACACCTTTTTCTATACAAATTACAAAAGAAATTTCCAAATTTTTTATATAATATTTTGCGCATTTTATACAAATTTTAAAGATTGTTTTTGATGTTTGACTACACGGTTGGTGCGGTGGCTGGGTAACTGGCTGCCGTGCAACGTGTCGCGGGTTCGATTCCCGCACGGAACAACACTTTGTGTGATCCACAAATTGTTGTTTCGGGTCTGGGTGTCGTGTGTATGTGGAATTGTATGTTTGTAAACGCACGCGCACCCACGACACAGGAGAACATCCTAGTGTGGGGCAACGTTTTTTTTAAATAAGAAAATAAGAATATGATTGTTTTATAAATTTGCACATCCTTACGCAACATTCACACATTTTAGGTCTGATTTTTCAATGGTTAGATAGAAGTTACCTGTGGAATAATTATGATGCTGTCGCTTCAGAATATTTGTATAAGACAGTGACAGCAACAATTTTATTCCTCAAATAACATTTATCTGACTATTGAAAAATCAGCCCTTATAGAAAATAAAACATTATTCTTTACAAATAGAGAAGTCTCTTGGGTTAAAACAACAAGATTCTAATTAGTCCGTCAGTTAGATTATAGAAAAATACTCAATACTTATTTTTTTATTTGTCGATACGAATAATATTGACAAAGATACAGCACATTCAAATTCAGGAGTAGGGGCTCGAGACGTCACTCTTTCGTAAAATTTTTACGAAATAATGACGTAGCGCGAACTTTCGCCGCTCTGTAACTTTGTTATTTTAAGTTTTAGAAGCAAAAGAAAAAATACGTATCTACTATTTTCTGGCGTTCTAAAAGATGGACTCATTATTATTTTTTTGTCATCATCCCTATTGTGCATAACTTAAAAGCATTTCATATATAGATTTCCTTTAATAGCATCCTAAAACTGTTGTATCCATTAACAATGTATGTATTTTTAAGCAATCGCCTCAGCAACGACCCCTCAATAAAGACACGTCGACTAGACAGATACACTGCCCCAGTACGTCGCATCACAATACACAGACGTGAAGATATTGATATACCAAATGGCACAGTCACTTGTGAACAGGTAAGACATTATGCTTTTATAAGTTACTAGCTGTTACCCGCGGCGTCGCTCCCGTCATTTGACTACCTACCCCACCCTGCCTACCCTACTCTACCTACCCTATTTACCCTACTCTACCTACCCTACCTACCCTACTCTACCTACCCTACCTACCCTCCTTTACCTACCCTACTCTACCTACCCTACCTACCCTACTCTACCCTACTCTACCTACCCTACCTACCCTACTCTACCTACCTTATCCTACCTACCCTACTCTATCCTATCTTATGTCCTTCTCCTGGCTCTAAACTACCTCCCTGCCAATTTTCGAGTTATAAGTGGTGTAACTAACACGACTTTCTTTTATATATATAGACTAGCTCTTGCCCGCGACTTTGTTTGCGTGGAGTAGTGACTTCCTGCAGATTTTTGGTATAAAAACTATCCTATGTCCTTTCTCGAGTTCCAACCTATGTCTGTACCAAATTTCACAGAAATCGGTTCAGTAGTTTAGGCGTGAAGAAAAGACAGACAGAGTTACTTTCGCATTTATAATTGGATAGTTTATGGCAACATGTCGCGGGTTCGATTCCCGCACGGAACAACTCTTTGTGTGATCCACAAACTGTTGTTCCGGGTCTGGGTGTCATTGTCATGTGTACGTGAAATTGTATGTTTGTAACAGCACCCACGACACAGGAGAAAATCCAATTGTGGGGCTTGTTTTTAAAAAAAAAATAGCTTTGATGATCTGTTTTATTTTGTATATTAGACAGTTGTCCTATCTTAGGTATGAGTACGTATTCAATTTGAACTGTAACCTATAACATCTTCCATGTAAAATTAAATCCTTATTGCCCTGGACTCGCCAAAACTGAGAAAAACTTTGCTAATTTCAAAATTTTGTTAGGTACTTTATTTACGTTATGTACTTTTGTTACGTATTTTACGTTTATTTAATAAAAACAAAATTTATTATCATTAAATTTTTTAATATTAATTTATGCTATGTAGCGATAGTGAGTCTTCCTTTGTAATCATATCCAGTCATATTCCTTATCATAATTATATATCAGTGCGGCGTCGAGTCCGGTGGAGTCCGAGCGTACTCGCGTCACTTCCGTCGGGCGCACCCGGGTCTGCTTCCGACGCAGTGCGGCACGGCCGTCAATCCGTACATGTGCGAGCATTGCGGGAAAATGTTCTTGGTTCGTATAAAACATTCATTTATATTCACTTATGCTTACTTATGATCACTTACGCTCACTTATACTCATGTAAAATGGAAGTTATCTTGTTCGTCGAAAAACGTAAATGCCTTATTTTCGAAATTTATTCCCTACTAGCTACTCTCGCGTTTCACCCGCTTCTCGGCTCCATTTAATCGTAGCGTGATGTTTTATAGCCTGTAGTACTCAGGAACCTTGTAGCTATCTATCAGTGAAAGAATTTTGGCAATCCGACCAGCGGTTCCAAAGATTAGTCCCTAAATAGAAACTTACAAATTTTACCTCTTTATAATATTAGTATAGATTTCGCTCATTTGGGTTTTATATTGGATCGATTGACAAACGGGCTGAGTAGTCACCTGGTGGTAAGCAAACGGCGCTACTGGGCTGGGAATCTTATTATTGGGTGAAGGGGATTGAACCTCCGTTGACACCACTCACAACGCTGTGGTTGTTCCACGCTGGTTGAGTGAGGCCGTGAGATAACCCCGGTTGAACCGACCGATTCGTGCCGAAGCGTGGTTCTTCTACATCTACATTTTGCAACCGGTTACCGTCCAACGTGTCGCGGCACAGCTGAGCAAAGGTATCTTCTCTCACGGAGAAGGTTTTTAGCATAAATCACCACGCTTGCTCATTCAGTATTAGAAGTCCTATTTTCCGCACGATGTTTTGCCTTCACCATACTGTCGGAAAAAGCGGCGTTGCTATTTACAAGGTTTCGTAACCGCGCCCTCTTACTTGAGAAGTAATACATATTAAGTTTAACTTATCGAAATATGACTCTCTTACTAACGACGCGCTCATCATCAGCCTATAAGTGCCCACTGCTGAGCAAAGGCCTCTTCTCATAAGGAGAAGGTTAGATCATTAATCAGCACGCTTGCTCAATGCGGGTTGGCGATTTCAAACTTATAATTAGAAATAATAAGTCCAGGTTTCCTCACGATGTTTACCTTTACCGTATGTCAGTGGTGTCTAAATAATTATAGAAAGTTCACAGTAGTACGTGGCAGGCTTCTCACCCCGCACCCTCATGCATGAGAAGCGCCTTAACCTCCGGGACACCACCACCACACGACGCGACCGCTGCTCATATCTAAATAAGAGTCCTATCCTGAACAAACTGACAAAAGCTCTTCCAGTTCCAAGTATCACTTGAAAGTGGTAGAGCTTTTTTTTGTGAGGGGAAAATCACCAAATGTCTTCTCCCGCCCAGGGCCGGGCGGGAGGGAGTGTCAGACTCTTACTGACTAAAAACCCCCCTGTTCCTTCTCCTGCTCTGGTCCGAAGTCGCGGTGCCTCATTGCGCTTACCCCGCAACCCCGGCTGAACATCAGCCCTATAGGGCCCCGTCTGTGGTGGTCTATTGGCTCTTTGAGGCGCGCGCGGAACGCTACGCGCCGTACGCTCGGGCCTGGTTCTGGTCGGGCGGCGAGCTACCGTACTCGCCGTCCGCAGACCCGTACTTACGGTGGCCGGAGATCGTCCCTCGATCCCCAACGCCCGTAGTGTCGCCAGTTGCGGCGTAGAGGAGGAAGATTGCTCCCTCACGCGGGCCGCCTCAACTGGTAGAGCTCTCGTTATATTTCACTAATAATTTGATCCATATTTAATCAGACCCTCCTTCACAGAATACAACCACTTTGGAAGGTCACATGTGGGTGCATACAGGGCAGAAGCGGTTCCAATGTGACCACTGCCACAAGACCTTCAGTATGAAGTCCAATCTAGCGGGGCATATGAAGCAACATGAGGCAGTGCGTCAGTCATACGCGTGCCAGCTGTGTGGAAAACAGTTTGCCTTCAATCATAACCTGACGAGGCATTTACGGGTGAGATTTTAAACGCTTTTTTTATGTAATAGGTCGGCAAACGAGCAGACGGATTGCCTGATAGTAAGCAATCAGCGCCGCCCATGGACACCCGCAACGGAGGAGTTACGAGTGCGTTGTCGACCTTTTAGGGATTTGGACATTTAGGGATTGGGGGAGGGGAAGGATTGGGCTTCCGGTAGCCTCACTCAAACGGCGAAACACAACGCTGTGGTTGTTTCACGGCGGTTTTCTGTGAGGCCGTGGTATCAGTCCGGTCGAGCCGACCCATTCGTGCCGAAGCATGGCTCTCCCACACTTTCCACGCCTCTAGTGGGTTATAGGATTTAATAATTATGATTTAAACGTCAAGCCTACCAAGTTATTTAAATAATTATTTTTCGCGTTAATACCCGCGTAATTATATGTTGTAAAAAAGTTTGGGATTTAAGTTGGGGAGAGGGGGGAAGAATTTGGCCTCCTTACACCGCGAAACACAACGTAAGTTTTGGTTCACGCCGGTTTTCTGTAAGGCGGTAGCAAAGCATGGCTCTCCCACACTTAAAATTAGTTTCTATTTTTCCAGGTACATACAGGAGAAAGGCCCTTCAAATGTGGCGCGTGTGAGAAGACTTTTAGGACGAATGGGGAACTCAAAGCGCACGTCGACCACGTACATTTGAAAATACCTAGACCCAAACGGATTAGGAAACCTAGGAAATGCGATATACCTAACTTGGAGTACTAAGTCTTTATGTGAACTAACTAAATGGTCAGTTTTTTTAACACACAGTTTCTACCGATAGATCTCTCATCACTCATCGGTTATTGAAGAGAGTAATTTTTGGATTTGATGCTTTTTTTTACTAGCTTTTGCCCGCGTCTTTGTTCGCGTGGAATAGTGACTTCCTGCAGATTTTTGGTTTTCCTATGTCCTTTCTCGAGTTCCAAACTATGTCTGTACCAAATTTCACACAAATAGGTTCAGTAGTTTAGGCGTGAAGAAAAAACGGACAGACACACAGAGTTACTTCCGCATTTATAATATTAGTTTGGATTGATTACAATCAGCACAAGCTAATAGCTTCACTAAGAGGACTGACCGACAGACTGACTGACTTTTTATTTGTAATTTTTGGAAGTGGTGGACCTTTGTTTAACTTTAACACAAAAGTGCCTGCAAGGGTCTAATTGCAATAAACGATTTTTACAAATGACTTTCACTTTGAACGATTTGGCTGAATTGAAAAAGATCTTTTTTTTTAATTAAACGTTTCCCTACACTAGGATTTTCTCCTGTGTCGTGGGTGCGTTTACAAATATACAATTTCGGATGCACATCACAGCCAGACCCGGCACAACTATCTGTGGATTACACAAACAGTTGCTGCGTGCGGGAATCGAACCCGCGACACGTTGCGCGCCAGCCAGTTGCCCAGCCACAGCGCCAACCGTGCAGTCAAAAAGTCAAGATCTGATGTTTTGTTTTTTAAATAGTAATATAAAAACAGTATTGTTATATTTTGTATTTGTATATATATTATTTAAACTCGCTTACTTAAATATGTAATGTATTATTAAGAGTCATTTTATGTCTAAGCACAAAATCACTTCAATTGATTAATGCCCAACACTGTACTGCATGTTTTAAGTAGGTCGTAAGCCAGTGTCAAATGTTCGATCATGAAATCTACAGATAATGAATTGAGATCAGTTATTAAATTCCTTCATAAATTATGTAAGTATCTCATATTTTTACTATTATAATTAAGGTTAGCTCCTTTCCAGGAAAGGTTAATTAAGGTTAGTTATTGTTAACATTATTGTATTATTTATAGTAAAAACTTATAAGAATGAACCAAGATTTGTTTTATTAATATCATCAGCCTGTGATTACCCAAGAGATAGAGGAGTCCCTTGCTCCTGCTCAGTGCCGGCGTAAGGCGATGGCCCAGAGCGACAAATTTTAAAGGGCGCCAGGGCCTGAAGTTGGTGTCTCTTGCCTCTCTTGGTGCAAACCCTCAGAACTGTGCTCTACGCTCTGTGCATATGTATATTTTTTATGGATTTTTTGAGGGTTTGTGGTCGAGGAGTAACTCTTACGATATCAATACGATCAGCAAAAAACTAACACTTGATATTGCTTCCCTGGAGTGGGCGCTAATATACTTTCGCCCGGGGTGTCAGTGGCCCTTACGCCGGCACTGCTCCTGCCGAGCAAGGGTCTTCTCGCACAGAAAACGTTTGAGCATTAATCACCAACTTGCTCTAAGCGGATTGGCGATTTCAAACTAAAAACAAGCACAGCACAGCACAGCAGCAAAGACATAAACATAGATTTGAAATTTCAAGATAGTATTTCTTTTTTGCTAAAAAAGAAAACGTTTCTGCATTTACAAAGTCCTGCACTGTTGAATGATATCTAATTAAGGTTAAATACAAAAGCAAGTAGAAAAATAATCTTCACCGTCTAAGTGAGGATTAATTAACTGTTCCATAGGGTGTGGTGGAAGTGGAATCAAGCCTTCTTCGTCTTCAGTGTCTGTTTTGTCTATACTATTATTATAAAAAGGAAAAAAAAATAAGTTTGTATCTAAGGGATAACTTTTGGAACCGCTGGTCAGATTGCAAAAATCACACAGATTGCAAATTTCACTGATAGATAGCTACAATGTTCCTGAGTGCTATAGGCTATAAAACAAAACGCTACGATGGATGGAGCCGAGCAGCGGATGAAACCGCGTGAGAGTAGCTAGTGCCTTATATTAGTTTTGTTTGTTAATTGATCATACTAATATAAAATATGAACTTTCTATAAGATGTTGGTAACAAACAAAAAGAGAAATATATTCACAATTAAATTTTTAAGCAAAGTTTAGTACCTACCTACTTACTTAGGACACGGCCCACTTTCTGTGAGGCCGCGGTATCAGTCGCATTCGTGCTAAAATGGCTCGCTCACAATAGAAATGTGTTTAATTTTTCCAAGTACCTACACTCAGAAGAAAAACTTTACAAGTGCCGCGCATGTGAGACATCTTTTAGGACGAACGGGGAGCTCAAAGCGCACGTCTACCATGTACATTTAAATATACCTAGACCCAAACGTCTTCCTAGTTCCTCTCGCACCGCAACATAGCCTCGATCAAGGCCGTGCGCCAGAGGTCGCCTTTGCCGAAAACTTCTCCGAGGACACGGCGATGCTCAGCCCAAGCAGATCAAAAAAAGATACAAATCTGCCGTTCCCGGTAACACCTGCGTCATTTCACGCATGGTCAGAACACCATGACATTTCTCAAGCCGCTCCTCGAAGAAGGGTCTTACCGCTGCTATAACAGCGTGCCAAATCTATCTATGATGGGGACAGAAGTACTAAAACCATAGTCGACGAATTACGCTAGTTATATAGACTAAAAAAAGTAGGTAATACCTTTTTTTATTTATCATACTTACAAAGGTACCTACACAGACATTTTCAATTTGACATAGCAATCAAAAGGCTCTAAGTTTAATTAAAAGACTTGTGCTGTCATTAATGCTTCACAATATCGAAACTTAAAATAGAAACTATACACAGTGGGTTTATTTGGATAACAATAATTAAATCTTGCGTGGGAGAACCATGCTTCAGCCTGCTTCAGCACAAATGGGCCGGCTCTACCGGAATGGTAACACGATCTCGCATAACACCAAACGCAATTTCCACTAGTCCAAGTTTTTTTATGAAAGAGAAGGCCAACGAGTTAACGGATTACCTGATGGCAAGCTAACAAGTCCACCCATTTAAAAAACAACAGCTTGTGTTTCGCCGTGTTAGTGAGGTTACCGTAGAACCAATCCTACATCCTCATTCTCAAATCTCCTTAAAACCCTAATATCTCACAAGAGTTACGAGTGTTCATGGGTGGCACTGATGCTTACCATCAGGTAATCAATAAAAATAAAAGTAAAAGGTCTTTAAATACGTGAAAACATTGTAATACTACTATTTGAGCGATATACCTACAGTAGATAATGTAAAATATGGTAGATGCGCTGAGTACGAGTTTCATTAAAACAATGAAAAATAATGTTAATACTGACTCTCCTACAAAAAGCAATAGGTTTTTGTACCTGAAACAAGCTAAAATAACAGTGTCTCAAAAGGCATGGTGCTAAATTTAAAATTCGAATCAATGGTGGGCGCTTCATGTTTGACAGCTTGTGTGTGTATCGTAAAAAAATATACACGAAAACGAAATATTCTTGATTTTGTTTAAATTGAATTAATTCGAGAATATAAAACACACAACATATTATTATAAATAAACCGTAATACAATGACACTATTCAACCTATACTATGATCTTATAATTAGAGATTAAATTCTAATCAGAATTTCGGGATATGTTTACGTTATTGAAAACTTACAAAAAATAAGAATTTTGTCTTATTATGAGGTGCAGTGTCTCCAATTGCTCCAATGATACAAGAAAAACTTGTAAAAGCGATGGAGTCACATTCCATATGTAAGTATTATATATTTATATGTTATAAGTGCTGAAAATAAGTATGTACAAACTTTGCGGCTTCGAAGGCAACTTTAGAAGGGTTAAAATTATATAAACTTCACGCTTTTATCTTCCAAAGGGGTAGGCAATAATGCGTAAATATACCGAACACCCAAATCTGTCCAGTTTCGTTACGACTTGCGTGTTAGAAGGAAGCTTTTTTGCTGTTGTTACTGATCACAATATCAGAGTTTTATCAATAGTGAGAGTGTTCCAATAAGTTTCGTTGTAAATGCTACGTAAATCAAATGAAACCGAAAGTTATTAATTAAGTACCACAACAAAATCAATGTGAAATGTTTGTAAACAAACCATAAATAAAAGAGTATATCTAAACAGATTCCACCTTATTACAGAACAATGTTTATCTGTAGTCTAGGTTTAAACCATTGAGTCAGGTTTTGTATTTTGAATCTTATTCTTACCTACCTTAAATTCCAGCCAGGGTTGTGTGGTAAATGCAATAAGGCATTGCAACCTCAGCCCAGAGCAGGAGAAGGAACAGGGGTTTTTTAGTCAGTAAGAGTCTGACATTAATTCCCGCCCGGTCATTTGATGATTTTCCCCTCACAAAAACAAACCTACATTAAATTCGAAATACAAAAACTGACTTAATGGTTAAAACCTACACAAAAGTGAAACCTTATTTTGTAATAAGGTCCATTAAATATATGTTTTTAGTGCTTCTACCATTTATTTGTGACTCAGTATAGAATTATACAGAGCTATACTTATAATATAAAACATTTTACATAGATATTGCTATAGTTCTAATTAAAAAACTATAAAAATAGGCTACATGTTTCCCTAAGGCTTGTCTTGTCCTAAGATACAATAAACACCTACTTAATATTTTTTGTGGTTTTTGAGTAAATTCATACAGCTTACAATTTATTGCCAACAATATGTCTGTAATTCTTAAGCTGTAAAAATAAAAATGCTTAAAAAATAATATAAGTACTAAGTTAAAATATAATTATGTATAGCCATAACTGTTATTATATATCTACCACTAAACTATTCAGTTTAAACTTTAATATTTCAGTTTCCCCAAAGAACTGAATCTTCGCAATAAATGGGTGGAAGCCCTCGGAATGGGAGACTGGGAGCCTAGGGAACGTAGTTCAGTGTGTTCTGAACATTTTCGTACTGAAGACTTCTATGAAACAAGGGCAGGGATGAGGAAAATTAGGAGCGGTGCTGTGCCAATACCTTCTAAGGTAAGTTTAAAGATGTATTCAAAATTTTATAATGAAGTTTAAAGTCTATGTTCCCTGGAAACTTCATTCATCATCAGCCTATAAGTGTCCACTGCTGAGCAAAGGACTTTTCTCACAGGGAGAAGGTTTGAGCATTAATCACCACACTTGCTCAGAAGAATTAGCGATTTCAAACTTATAATTAGAAATTATAAGTCCAGTTTTCCTCGCAATGTTTTCCTTCACCATATGTCAGTGGTGTCTAAATAATTATAGAAAGTACATATAACTCGGAAGAAGTCACATTGGTACTTGTCAGGTTACGAATCCAAATGCACAAGAAACAGACGTGTCAATCACCTGGCCACTACGAATGAAAAGTTTATTGTACAATACCGCCAACATATCTTGTCGAGTCTGAAGTTAGCCGATTAGCTGCGCAGTACACAATTTTGTTCCTAAAAGATCCATTGCGCAGACAAACGGCTAACTTCACACTCGCCAAGATACGTCGACCGTACTGTACATATTATATGACTTTATATGTTTGTAAACCCATCTAAAACAAAAGAATGGATATGTTTTTTGCCGTACTCTGCCCGTTTGTCTTTTCTACACGCCTAAACTACTGAACCGATTTCCGTGAAATTCGGTACAGACATAGACCGAAATTTGGAACACGAGAAAGAACATAGGATAGTTTTTAAACAAAAATCTGCAGGAAGCCACTATTCCATGCGGGCAAAAGCTAAAGTAGATTTATATTTTCTCTTATTTACAGACCTCTGAGGAAGATCTAGATGCGCCGGCCGCAATGAGGGTAAGAGTGTTTTTTTAAATTTAATAAAACAATTAATTTATTCTTGTAACTATACCATAAAAGTGAGAGAGAGCCATGACCCCTCACGAAAGGGCCGGCTCAACGTGATTGATACCACGACCTCAATGATACCCGGCGGCGTGAAGCAACAAGTGTTGTTTTCGTCGTGTGTGTGAGGTTACCGGAGGCCGAATCCTTCCCTCTTATCCTTAAACTTCAAATCCGTGGCTCGGAAGAGGGGGGAAGAGTTAGGCCTCCGGTAACCTCACTCACACGGCGAAAAACAACGTCAATATTGCTTCACGCCAGTTTTCTGTTAGGCCGTGGTATCACTTCGGTCGAAACCGACCCATTCGTGCCGAAGCATGGCTCTCCCATGCGTTTTGGGGGAAAGCCATGCATCTGCATTCTTTAGGAAATTTGGAGCTTGGTTATGGGACTTCTGGATTATAAGACAATTTCACTTTAATTTCAGGTCTGCCGAGTCTGTCTCGCAATGGACACGAAGATGTATAATATAACAGAATTCAAACTGGACACTATGTTTCAAGAAATCACAGGATTAGTCGTAAGTTTAACCCTTAAATATTAACCTTATAAGTAGGTAGACTACAGTCTGTAGGAACAGGGTGGAAAGTTCTTTAAATTTAAAAATGTTTACAATCAGGTATTTACCTAAATCGAGGTTAGCTTAAAAGTTAGCTTATAAATAAAAAAACATTAAAATAAAAAATGAGTAAATCTATACCTACTAATATTATAAAGAGGTAAAATTTGTATGTAGGGGGTAATCTTTGGAACCGCTGGTCGGATTGCCAAAATTCTTTCACTGATAGATAGCTACAATGTGCAATGTTCCCAAGTGCTATAGGCTATAAAACGCTACAATCTAAAATAGAGTCGAGTAGCGAGTGAAACTGCGCGGGAAAAGCTAGTATATAATAAAAAATGTTGTTTCTATCATACCAAAAAAAAAAAATAGTTCTTAGGCTCGGAAACTAGTTAGTAGGTTGATCGTTGACTGTTGAACCGATTTCAGAAAGGTTCTGTTTTAATGCATGATTAGCGCGGTTCGCGCGCGATCGAATCCCGCACGGAACAACTCTTTGTGTAATCCACAAACTGTTGTTCTGTGTCTGGGTGTGATGTACGCACCCACAACACAGGAGATAATCCTAATGTAAGGCAATGTTAAAAAAAAATAAAAAAATGGTTTCGTAATTTACAGGGTTGGTCGGAAAGACTGCCTCAGAGAGTCTGTTGGGAGTGCGCGGCCAGACTGTCTTCAGCTTACCAGTTCAGAGACAAGGCGATACGAAGCGATGAGTTGTTGCAGGAATTAATTCAACCCGATACTTATGTAAGTGATTTTATTTCTGTGTCTTTACGAATCACGGTGCCACAGCGTCCCGGACTTTTGAAAGGCGTATGAGGAGCTGAAGCTAACTGCGCAGAGTTCCTTTAGAACTTTAATCTGAATGAAATGGGACATCAGCCGGCAATTATCCCTGTATGCACTACAAAAGTGCACCCAAGGATAATTCCCGGTTGATGCAGGACTATTGCGAAATGTGATAAAAAATTACAGGGTCCACCAGTCCATCAACCGGGGAATGTCCTTGGGTGCAATTTTATAGTGCATACAGGGATAATTGTGTAATTTTACTAGGTCAAAAGTAAATTAAGTCGACGTTTCAATACAATAAAATATTGAAAAATAACTATACATTCATTCATCGATCGATCGATGCTCTAAATTTTCGATTTTTTAGCAAAATTCATAGTAACCTATCGTTTTTAACATTTGGATAAAAATATTGAATTTGACTAGTTGGAAACTACCGTATTGGAGCCTGATGGCTCCAATACGGTAGTTTAGGGCATCAGCCCCATCACATTTATATTAAAACTTTTCAACGGGCCTCTGCGAGTTGGCTTCGGCCCCTCGTACGCCTTCCAAAGGTCCGAGATCCTGTGGTCCCGTGAAAGGAAAAATCATACTAATTAATACTTTTATTTCAGTTAAAAATTCGAGATATAAAATTAATTAACAGAACACAAAATAAATTAAGTTCGACCCTAATACATAAGGTATATGAATCTGAAGACTTTTACCTAGATATAACTGAAAATGATATTAAAACTGAAAATTTTCAAGAAAACGTTGATGGAATACAAATGGATTGTCTAGTAATCGATGCTAGTAATCTACCCACTACTGGGGTTGAGGTCAAAAATGAGGTGCCAAACGGCATCTTTTTCGACGAATACGATCATTTTGATGATGAAGATGATCAAGTCCTAAGCGAGATGTACGTCGACAAGAAACTAGTACCTTTACAGCGAGAGAAAAAGAAGAAAGTGAAATTGGTTAAGAAAGTTGTTGAAAATACTAAGAAGGTTGTCGTCCAAAATAATGATCCTTACGCTACGAGTGAACGGTGAGTTCTTTTTGGCAATTTGATCTTTTTTTTTATTGTACCATAATCTATACTTCTATACTAATATTATAAAGAGGTAAAGTTTGTAAGTTTTTATGTAGGAGGTAATCTTTGGAACCGCTGGTCGGATTGCCAAAATTCTTTCAATGATAGATAGCTACAATGTTCTCGAGTGCTATAGGCTATAAAACATCAAGCTAGTAGATAGTCTTTATATATAAAAGTTTCGTGTCACGTATTTGTCCGCGATGGACTCCTAAACTACAAAACCGATTTTAAATTTGATTTGCATTCCGTGTGCATTTTGATCCAACTTGAAAGATAGGATAGCTTACATCTCAATTTATAGTCACAATATTATTTTGACAAGTACCTTAGCCACAGCAACGCGTGTCTGGGTCTGCTAGCACTAGTAAATAGGAAAGCTTAACATATAAAGGTACGCAAGTGTATGAGAGACAAGCTTCGGCACGAATAGGTCATCGGCTCGACCGAAGTGACCAGGGCGTCGTAGAAACAACCACAGCGTTGTGTTTCGCCGTATGAGCGAGGTTACCGGAGACCCAATCCCTACCCCTCCCCTATCCTTTCCCAATCCTTAAATATCTGCAACCCTTATCCCCAAACTGCTGGGAACGCTCATTACTCCTTTGGTGTTGCGGGTGTCCATGGGCGGCGCTGATTGCTTACCATCAGGTAATCCGTCTGCTCGTTTGCTGACTTATTCCATAAAGAAAAACAAAAACTGTCTCAATGTTTTAAACGTAGACTAAGAAAAGCCTTGTATTATTATAAGGCCGCATGTGTTTAATACCGGAACTCATATAAAACAAGGTGTTATAAGTTTGACGTCTGTCTGTCTGTCTGTCTGTCAATGGCATCCTGGAGCCTGAACGGGTGAAACGATTTGAATTTAGTTTTTCTTTTTGGATTAAAGGTGACTTACGTGCGAGTGTTTTTAGACATGTTTGACGAAAATCGGTTGAGCCGTTTAGAAGTTATGGGGGTGTAAGTGGGGAAGGGTAACCGAAGGTCTGCAAATATACTCGAGTGGGGTCTCAAATGAAAGCGCACTGAAAGGGAATGTTGATGACTTGATCGAGAGAAAATGATATAAAATACCTATAAAAATAAATTAGAGCCCCGACCAAATAGAAATATTATGTAGTTGATAATAAAATGTTTAAATCGGTCCCCCAACGCCACGTTTTCTGTTTTTTTTAGCCCCACTTTAGGATTTTCTCCTGTGTCGTGGGTGCGGTTACAAACATACAATTTCACATACACATGACACCCAGACCCGGAACAACAATTTGTGGATCACACAAAAAGTTGTTCCGTGCGGGAATCGAACCCGCGACACGTTGCATGCCAGCCAGTTGCCCAGCCACCGCACCAACCTTTTTTTTTAGTCAATTACTTTTTAATTATTACTTTTTAAAGGAATATTTTTAATTCTAGGTATAAAACTAATGATGTTAAAAGAAGGCGCAGTAATGAATTGGACGAGTCCCTGTTCACAATAACTCCTTTAACATACGATGAACAAATTGAAGAGGTCGCCAAGAGGCAGCAGAGCACGAACTACACTAGCGCCCCCTATAAATGTGTTATTTGCTATCGAGGGTTTCTGGTGAAAGGAAGGTACACTGCTCACGCTATTAGACATAGTGAGGTAAGTTAGTATTATTTATTTGTGTGTGTTGGTGGATGTTTAAGTGTGGGAGAGCCATGCTTCAGCACGAATGGGTCGGCTCGACCGCAGTGATACCACGGCCTCACAGAAAACCGGCGTGAAACAACCACAGCGTTGTGTTTCGCCGTGTGAGCGAGGTTACCGGAGACCCAATCCTTCCCCTCCCCCGATCCCTCCCCAATCCCTAAATCTCCAAAACCCTAATCCCTAAAAGGTCGGCAACTCTCTCGTAACTCCTCCGTGGCTGATTGCTTACCGTCTGCTCGTTTGCCGAGCTATGACATAAAAAAAATGTTGTTTTTTTTTTCAGCAAAGCGGTACTTTCGAATGCTTTATATGCAAGACTAGGTTGAAGACTAGTCGTGCTCTCCGTAAACATCTGACTTCTCAACATACAGAACAATACAGTTGCAACGCATGTTCGTTCGTCACAAGGAACCGGTGAGTTCTATATCCATTTAATCATTATCATCATCATCATCATCATCATCATCATCATCCGAATTAACATCGGAATTAACTAACATATTAAAACATCATCCTATAAGTGTCCACTGCTGAGCAAAAGTCTCTTCTCACACAGAGAAGATTTGAGCATTAATCGCCACGCTTGCTGAAGGTGATTTGGCGATTTTAAACTTGTCAATGTTAGAACTGTTAACTGAACTGCACAGAAATCGAATAGCTTTCGCAAATATAGAGCTACTCAAATACGGTAGTTTCCAACTAGTCAAATTCAATACTTTTATCCAAACGTCAAAAACGCTACTTTTCTATGAATTTTGTATGAAAATGTGAGGTATGACGTCATAACTTTTTTGCGTCAAATAGCTTACTTATTTCTTAATAAGTAGCAGAAAAGTCTCAAAAAAAAAAAGTGTATTGATCGATTAATGAATAAAAGTATAGCTATTTTTCAATATTTTATTGTATTGAAACGTCGAAATAATTTATTTTTGACCTAGGAAACTACCCAATTGTACTGCGATGAAAGGGGTAGATGATTGATTAAAGGCTATTTTAATCACTTGGCTGTGAAAGATTTAATAAAAAGAATTGCAAAATGTGTTTGTACATAAGCGCATAACTCAACAACGCCTGGACCAATTTTGATGATACTTTTTTTCATCGTATTTGTTATTATCAGAAGAACGTTCTTATGAAAGAACATTTAAGTAAATACCTACAGAGGAATGTTTGGACCCTTAGAAAATAATCACTACATAATATAAAACAAAGTCGCTTTCCCTGTCCCTATGTATGATTAAACCTTTAAAACTACGCAACGGATTTTGATGCGCATTTTTAATAAATAGAGTGATTGAAGAGGAATGTTTATGTATAATTATTTTTTATGTGATAGGTCTTTAATCGAGCTGACGGATTACCTGATGGTAAGCAATTATCGTCGCCCATGGCCACCCGCAACAACAGAGGAGTTACGCGTGCGTTGCCGACCTTTTAGGGGAATAGGGATTTGGAGGTTTAGATATGGGGGGAGGGAAAGTATTGCGACTTCGGTAACCTCACTCACACGGCGAAACACAACGCTGTAGTTGTTTCACGGCGTTTATCTGTGAGGCCGTGGTATCACTCCGGTTGAACTCACACATCTATTAAATAGAATTTCTAATATTAGCATTGCACCCGTTAATTTTAATAGTAGGTAATAAAATATGTTTTTTTTCAGCGGTGTGGCTAGAGAACACCAGAAATGGCACGCCGGTCACAAGTATCAGTGTCCACACTGCGCTAGCGAATTTGAGTAAGTTTTCTTTAAATTCAGATATTTTTAAACATTGCCCCACATTAGGATTTTTTCCTGTGCCGTTTACAAACATACAATTTCACATATACATCACAACCAGGCCCGGATCAACAATTTGTGGATCACGTTCTTCTCCATTATCATTCTTGCTCGTTCTTCTCCGTGGAGTTTCTTGCTCGGTCTTCTCAATGGAGTTTCTTGCTCGTTCTTCTCCATGGAGTTTTTTGCTCGTTCTTTTAAATGGAGGGTTTTGCTCGTTCATCTCCATGGAGTTTCTTGCTCGTTCTTTTCAATGGAGGGTTTTGATCGTTCATCTCCATGGAGTTCCTTTGTCGTTCTACTCCATGGAGTTTCTTGCTCGTTCATCTCCATGGAGTTTCTTGCTCGTTCTTCTCCATTGTCAATCTTGCTCGGTCTTCACCATGGATTTCCTTGATCGTTCTTCTTCGTGGAGTTTCTTGCTCGTTCCTTTCATGAAGTTTCTTGCTTGTTCTTATCCTTGAAGTTTCTTGCTCGTTCTTCTCCTTGGACTTTCTTGCTCGTTTTCCTCTATCGAAATCTGCACTTTGAAACGAGCAAATAGCTTCACTAACAGGACGTTTTGACGTTAAAAAGTCCCTGTAATGACAGCACGGTTGGCGCGATGGATGGGCAACTGGCTGGCATACGACGTGTCGCGAGTTTAATTCCCGCACGGGATCACTCTTTGAGTGATCTACATATTGTTGTTCCGGGTCTGAATCTGATGTGTATGTGAAATTGTATGTTTCTTTACCTACGACACAGGAGAAAATCCTAGTGTAAGGAAACGTTTTTTTTTTATTTTAGTAAATGATTTTTCTTTGGCTTTGACTTACATCATAGAATCACCACTCGTAAAGTGTAATAGATGATTTTGCCTTTAACTTCGACTTTGTTGACTATGTTTTTTCTTTTCAGTAAATTAACGACATATTTAGGACATATTAGAATCAAGCATGTATCGGATATAGTATGTGAGCTTTGTGGATACATGTTTGTCAGCAAGAAGGGAGTCGAAGTACATAAAAAGAAAAAACATCATATGTCGGGGAAGAATGTAAGTGTTTTTTTTCTTTTTTTCTTGGTGATTTTCTCAGCAAAATAAGCTTAGGATGATTTTGATCTAGGTAGCTTAGTCAGTCATAGTCTTGACAGTCTCTTTCGTCTTCCCAAGCGATGAGTCTTCATGAGCATTTTTTTTGTAATCTGTTAAGTCCTATCTAGAGTTCCAAAGTACGTCTGTACCAAAGAATCATGACCACCTTCCATACATTGATTGACCTGTCACTTGATTTTTTCACAGGTCGCGTCTAGTTACAACTCGTGTTGTATTAAAATAATTATTGTTTATTATAACTCAATCACATATAATATTTTCATTTAGACGCCAGGGAAAAATGTAATTGAGTAAATAAGTTTTTGAGGTTATAACAGCTGTCAGATAAGGTTTGACAGCTGCTAATACTACAACCTCAAAACTGTACGATGTACGATACGCTAGTTGAAATCAATTGTTTCTTTAATACTGAGAGAGTTACAATCACTCAGAAATAAATCCCTCTTCAACGTAATATCAACATCAAAACAGCATGCGACTCCAAACTGCAGTTATATTCTCGTAATATGCAATTGATGCTGAGTTGAGTAGAAAGAACTAGGAACTTCACATCTGATTGTGATGTTATGTTAATATGCTTGTTGTCTACACTACATCAAGCAAGTTAGAGCAAGTTCAATGAAGTATCGGTTAAAATCTATCGTCGAAACAGACCAGATTCCAGGAGTCACCTTGATAGGCGATTCTTTTAACCATCATGTTCAAGTGTGATGGACAAACAAGGGGACCTCTGTTGGCCATTACAACTTAAATAGATAACGTAAAGAGTTGCCTACATGTTAGTGGTGAGAACTGGGAAGTAAAATAAAAAACAGGATGTGACTTAATATTATTTATTCAATGAACAAACTTCTATTCTGTATCCGCCATGGAAACGTACGTGTTCACCATATTATGAAGTAGTAGTAAAGTAGTTCATTTTACGCAAATGCAAACTTATTTTCAAAACCATAAAAAAATCGTGGCTACTTTCATGCTATTCTTATAAATATCTTTGATTTATATTAACTATTGTTAGTTAAGAAAGAAAGAAATATATACCAATTATTTATTTTGAACTTTCACTGCAGCACAAATGAACAAGTTTTTCATTATCTGTGAAACGGAACGGACCGTTTCGTTTTCAAATGTCTGTGTATTTGATGCACTGGCTTTTGGCCGCAATTCACCATGATAAACATAATAACATTGTCTTTTTTCCTGGCTTTATTTAAAAATTCGATTAAACGGTACGAAATAAACAAACAAATTACAATTTTTTAAGATATATTTCATCACAAGACGCGTTAGAATTTTTTCAGGTCAAAAATAGTCATGATTCTTTCACAGAAATCGGGTTAGTAGTTTAGGCGTGAAAAAAAGAAAGACAGACAGACAGAGTTACTTTCGCATTTATAATATTAGTGTAGATATTCCATTGAATATTATATCCAAGAATTATTAACATTTTCAGATTACATTAGAAGGACCTTACTGTCAAATATGTGACGTGAAGTTTGCGTCGGAAGAAGCGCACGACAGACATCTGAAGTTATCTGCAAGACATAGCAACGAACATGGCCTGTAAGTCTTTTTTAAATAATTTCTTTTAATTAATTTATTTTTAACGTCTTAAGGCTGATTTTTCAATGGTTAGATAAAAGTTACCTGGGGAATAATTATGTTGCTGTCGCGTCAGAATGTTTGTATAAGACTGATGAGTCAGTGATGACAGAATGGAAGAAAAAAACATATTGCGCCGACCCCAAATAAAACGGGACAAGGGCAGGAAGATGATGATGATGACATAACATTTATCTGACTATTGAAAAATCGGCCCTTACCCTATTAACTCTTTGGTCTATTAAATAAACCTTCGGTCTCACAGAAAACCGGCGTAAAACAACCGCAGCGTTGTGCTTCGCCGTGTAAGTGAGGTTAACGGAGGTTCAATCCTTCTCCCCCAATCCCACCTCAATCCCTAAATCTCCAAATCCCTAAAAGGTCGGCAACGCACTCGTAACTCCTCCGTTGCGGGTGTCCATGGGTGGCGCTGATTGCTTACCATCAGGTTATCCGACTGATCGTTTGCCGACCGATGACATAACAAAAACGTGTTTAAGTATCGGTCACTTATTACCAGTCACCCTATATATGTATATTCTTTTACCCTCAGAAATCCGCCTCGAAATGATTCTCAAAGTAACCACGGTCATTCAATAAGACGCAACGAGAGACGTCCCATTATACATCCGCGCACTCCAAGGCCTGATGATGATTTGGAATCGCAGTCCCCGGTCACATGTGAACAGGTATGTACGGGTCAAAGTATGGTGATGACAAGGTCTTAGCATAATACCAAGGTCAAAGCGAGATGTTTTTTTATGTAATAGGTCGGCAAACGAGCAGACGGATTACCTGATGGTAAGCAATCAGCGGTGCTCATGGATAGCCGCAAACGAAGGAGTTACGAGTGCGTTGCTGATCTTTTAGGTATTTGGAGATTTAGGGATTGAGGAGGGATTGGGGGAGGGGAAGGATTGGGCCTCCGGTAACCTCACTCACACGGCGAAACACAACGCTGTGGTTGTTTCACGCCGGTTTTCTGTGAGGCCGTGGTATCACTCCGGTCGAGCCGACCCATTCGTGCCGAAGCATGGCTCTCCCACACTTGAAAGATGACATAATAGATAGATTTTTTTATTTGATAGGTCAGTAAACGAGCTTTCGGATTACCTGATGGTAAGCAATCAGCGGTGCTCATGGATAGCCTTAACAACGAAAGTATTACGAGTGCGTTGCCGACCTTCTTGGGATTACGGAATGGGGGACGGGAAGGATTGGGTAACCGCACTAACTAGGCGAAATACAACGCTGTCGTTGTTTCACGCCGGTTTTAGATGCAATAAAGGCTCGCTTGCCGGTGTATGCCATAATTTTAGAATAATACACAAATCTTATATTAATAATAATATGTTTGTCCGTCAGTGTGGCCTACAACTGCGAGATCTAAGAGCGTACGCGCAACACTTTAGAAGATCTCATCCGGACAAGAATCGAACCAAGTACCCCGCAATGAAAACTCCGTGTATGTGCGAGCAGTGCGGGAAAATATTTCAGGTACGTTGATCACTACATAGTATAAAACAAAATCGCTTTCTCTGTCCCTATATCCCTACCGTATGGACACTTAAATATTATTACGGATTTTATGAGTTTTTTTTTTACTTGCAATAAACTAGTGCTTGACTGCAATCCCACCTGATGGTAAGCAGTGATGCAATCGTTGATGGTAAGGCGCACTAGTTTATTAAGAGCCTATTCACTCTAGCCTTGAAGACACCTAAATTGTATTTGGACGGAAAGACTGCAGCCGGCAAACTGTTCCAATCCCTCGATGTACGCGGTATAAATGACGAAGCAAAACGCTTAGTCCGGGCCGCAGGTGTCTCAACAACGTAAGGGTGGATATTTGCCGTACGCCGGTTTTTTAAAAGATTGAGTGACTAAAGAGCAACATTTATATTTATAATAATATGTATATAACCCGTGCCGATAAAGAATGGGATTAGAAATGGCCGCGCATCTATTCACCTCTCGCTCGCACATTATTTTCGTCTATACTCACACTCGTTGGTACAGACTGACGAAAAAAAATAACAACCCTGCAGATTTTTAGTATAAAAACTATCCTATGTCCTTTCTCGAGTTCCAAACTATGTCTGTACCTAATTTCACAGAAATCGGTTCAGTAGTTTAGGCGTGAAGAAAAGACAGACAGACATACAGACAGAGTTACTTTTATACCTAAATATTAGTTTAAATGTGGGAGAGCCATGCTTCGGCACGAATGGGTCGGCTCGACCGGAGTGATACCACGGCCTCACAGAAGACCGACGTGAAACAACCACAGCGTTGTGTTTCGCCGTGTGAGTGAGGTTACCGGAGGCCCAATCCTTCCCCTCCCCCAATCCCTCCTAAATCCCTAAATCTCCAAATCCCTAATCCCTAAAAGGTCGGCAACGCACTCGTAACTCCTCCGTTGTGAGTGTCCATGGGCGGCGCTGATTGCTTACCATCAGGTAATCCGTCAGCTCGTTTGCCGACCTATTAAATAAAAAAAAAAAAAAACAGGTTCTCTTGCCATAATAGTTTCTCAATGATATCAGAAAATTTTCTTATATAGATTTGTATTCACTTTTATAGAGCATGGCGTTACTAAAAGATCACATGTGGGTCCATACTGGCGTGAAAAGGTTCAAGTGTGATCGCTGCACGAAGAGTTTTACACAGAAGACAAATTTAATAATTCATATGAAGGTACACAGTGGGAATCGACCGAGCTACGAGTGCCCCTTGTGCGGGAAACATTTCGCTTTCTACAACAACCGAAGGAGGCATATGTTTGTAAGTACTTATAACTTGTGATATTTTTTTATTTAAAAGTGTTTACAGGGCCATGCTTCGCTACGAATGTCGAGCGGAGTGACAAAAAAAAGGAAAAGTCAAAATCATTTATTTCAATTAGACCACAGTCGGATGTCGTGGTGGCCCAGAGGTTAAGGAGCCAGCTTCTCATGCATTATTATGTATGCATACGTGTGGGTTCGAAACCTGGCAAGTACCAATGTGACTTTTTCCGAGTTATATGTACTTTCTATGATTATTTACACACCACTGACATACGGTGAAGGTAAACATCGTGAGGAAACCTGGACCTATAATTTCTAATTATAAGTTTGAAATCGTCAACCCGCATTGAGCAAGCTTGGTGATTAACGCTCTAACCTTCTCCGTATAAGAAGAGGCCTTTGCTCAGTAGTGGGCACTTATAGGCTGATGATGATGAGACCACAGCAGGCATTTTTGAACGTCAAGCAAAAAAAGGAAAAAAGTATTTCTAGAGCTCTCACATTAAGCTTGTCAGTCTGTCGGTCAGTCCTCTAGTGAAGCTATTTGCTCGTCCCAAAGTGTAGATTCCGATGGAGAAGGACGAGCAAGAAACTCCATGGTTACTCTTTTTCAATCAGTTTTACAATAAATCAGTAATCATCATGCAGTAATGTCTGCTCGGTTACCGACCTATTACATAATAAAAAAATCATAAGTGCTCAAATGATCTAATTGAAGTAAAATAAGTTTTATTAATTAAATCTCTTTTCTCCTATTTTCAGATACACACCGGCTTGAAGCCATTTAAATGTGATACTTGTGGGAAATGCTTCACGTCCTCAGGGGAATTGAAAGCTCACGTCGAACATGTGCATTTGAAGAAACCGTGGCCAAAACGCGCTCGGCAGAGAGCAAGGGATTGGAAATGTGATGAACCCAGCATCGAAGATTGATACCGTGGAGGCAGGATCTCTTTACGTAACTAATTTATTTTATTTTATAAGTTTTTTTTAAGGAACTTTCAGGATTTTCTCCTGTGTCGTGGGTACGTTTACAAACATACAATTTCACATACACACCACACCCAGAGCGAAAAACAAAAATTTGTGGATCACACTAAAAGTTGTTCCGCGGAATTCGTACCCGCGACTGCGCGGCGGCTAGTTGTCCAGTCACCGCGCCAACCGTGTGGTCAACAGACAGTCAAGTTTATTTTATTTGGTATAGACAATAAACGGCTGTATTATACACTAGCTTTGGCCCGAGACTCCATTCGCGTGGAATACTGAATTCCTGCAGATTTTTGATATACCTAAAAACTATCCTATGTCCTTTCTTGAGTTCCAAACTATGTCTGTGAAATTTGGTACAGACATAGTTTGGAACTCAAGAAACAAAAATTTGGAGTGAGTCACTATTCGGGCGGGCAAAAGCTAGTATTTATAATAAAGATATGAAAACAAATGGCTTCCCAAGACATTTTTGTACTAAGATTAAGTTAATTAGTATATGTTTAATTAAGATGTAGTTTAGTTATGATCTCATGGGCCTATAAACTAAATATATTATCTATACTAATATTATAAAGAGGTAAAATTTGTAAGTTTGTATGTAGGGGGTGATCTTTGGAACCGCTGGTCGGATTGCCAAAATTCTGTCACTGACAGATAGCTACAATGGTCCTGAGTGCTATAGGCTATAAAACATCACGCTACGATCAAATGGAGCCGAGCAGCGGGTGAAACCGCGTGAGAGTAGCTAGTTATAAATAAAAATGTTTGTGTGCACAGAACTCCCAAACGACTGGACATATTTTATTCGAATACGATAAAATGATATACGATATATATATTTTTTTTATGAGATGGGTCGGCTAACCTCATTCGGATTACCTGATGGTAAGCAAACTGCGCCGCCCACGGACACCCGTTACACATACATAGGGACAAAGAAAGCGACTTTGTTTTATACTATGTAGTACTGCTACTAATATTATAAAGATAAATGATAAGCGAAATATTGAGTTGGCTCCGGAATGATTTCGCTGATTTTAATATGTATCTCACTATCTGAGAGCTACGCTATACCCGGTGAACATGGGCTAAAAATTACGCGGATGGAACCGAAGGGCAACTAGTATAAATACTTTATTTTCATATTATACTAGCCACTCTCTTGATAAGGCCTGTCCTACTGTATGGGTCAGAATGTTGGGCTCTGAAAAAGACGGATGAAAAGCGATTGCCTGTAGCAGAGATGAGAATGCTGAGATGGATGTGTGGTGTGACGAGAATGGATAAAGTGAAAAATGAGTATATTAGAGGAAGTTTGAAAGTGGCGCCAGTGACTGAAAAGTTGAAAGGGAACCGTTTGTCTTGGTATGGCCATGTATAAAGGAGGGATGAAAAGCATGTAACAAAAAAAGTCATGAGTATAAATGTGGATGGATGAAGAGGGAGAGGGAGACCAAAGAAAATATGGATGGATTGTGTGAGAAGTGATATGGAAGACAGAGGAGTTAGCGATAGCGTGACGAGTGACAGGACAGAAGAAAAAAACATATTGCGCCGACCCCAAATAAAACGGGACAAGGGCAGGAAGATGATGATGACATCAGGAACATTAACGCTATCTATCACTACATACAAACTTACAAATTTTACCTCTTAAGGAGTTTGTTTGTTTGAACGCGGTAAACCCCGAAAGTACTGGTTCGAATTGAATAATAATTATTTTTATGTTTGTTAGTACATTTATAGAGCAAGGCTATAGGCTATAGAACATCAGGCTACAATCTATAGGAGCCGAGCAGCGAGTTAAACCGCGCGAGATTAGCTAGTTTTATATATAAAAGAAATACTCAGAATTATGTACCTATGTATGTTTTTTATTAAGTTTTCTTATGTTTTGTTGTTTTTAGTTTTGTTCACTCAAAATGATGAGACTTTTACATATATTGTGGTGGCCCGGAGGCTAAGGAGCCCGCTTCTCATGCATGAGGGTGTGGGTTCGAAACCTGGCAAGTACCAATGTGACTTTTTCCGAGTTATACGTACTTTCTATGATTACTTAGACACCACTGACATACGGTGAAGGTAAACATCGTGAGGAAACCTGGACTTATACTTTGTAATTATAAGTTTGAAATCGCCAACCCATTAATGCTCAAACCTCCTCCATGTGAGAAAAGGCCTTTGCTCAGCAGTGGGCACTTATAGGCTGATGATGATGAGAATTATATAACTTAATCACCACTGATTATTAACCTTATATAGTCCACTTTTATGAGGTAAGAAGAAAATCATTAAATATCTTCTGTCACACAGGCGAGAGGGAGTGTCAGACTCTTACTGACTAAAATATCTCCATTGCTTCTACTGTACTTTTACCCTCAAACCCAGATAGTGATTGTTATGGGTTTATAGTTTAATATTATAAGGTAAACAATTTACAGATCACATCATCAGCCTATATATGTATGAGTGCCCACTGTTGATCAAAAGCCTCTTCTCACACGGAGAAGGTTTAAGCATTATCCACTGAGCTCGCTCAAGGCGGATTGGCGATTTCAAACCTATAATGGGATTCATTAGTCCAGGTTTGCTCACCATCCGGGGTTGCGGGAACAAGCTCAATAATTTACCAAGGCCCCGACTTTGAGTAGGAGAAAGAACGGGGGGTTTTTAGTCAGTAAGAGTAACACTCTCTCTCGCCTCACCCAGAGAGGAAGTTTCGATGATTTTTTCCCCCTTGATGTTTTTCCTTCACAGTATGCCAGTGGTGTCGAAAAATGATTTTAGAAAGTACATATAACTTTGTAATAGTCGTAGTCTAGTTTACGTAACTCGACTATTAATTTATTTATTAAAATGTATTTACCGAATTCTAATATTTATTAAGGGCAGATTTTTTCAATGGTTAGATAAAAGTTACCTGGAGAATAATTATGATGCCGTCGCGTCAGAAAGTTTGTATAAGACAGTGACAGCAATAATTTTATTCCTCAAATAACATTTCTCTGACAATTGAAAAATCTGTCTCTTTTTATTCTTTTTTTTTTGTTGGAAAGAAGATCCCAGAATGGTTCCATGGAAATCAGGATCTGATGATGAAAGACCAGGGAAATCTAGGATAACTTTTAAAGGTCGAAGGGACAATTAGTGCTTTTGTATGTTGTTTTAGTAGGCTTTTTATAACAATACAACTTGAGACGAAGGTCGAACTCAACCTGGTGTTGGAGCCGGAAGGCAGTCGAGGGATCTCCTTGACTATTTGGAGTAGTTGCCTTGTTCTGTATTTTTTTACCGCCTTTTAATTGAAAGGAGCCTATTATAATATTCTGTCTCAAGTAAAGAAACCTACAAATAGATATAGATTATGATAATTGATAATTAATCTTAAATATATAAAGACTTATATTTTAGTTATAATATTTAGTTTAACTATAATTGTAAAGAGTTGTGTGAATTTGTGAAAAATGGTATTATTTATTGGAATGAAGAATACATGTGTGATGAGTATAGTTTATAAGTTTTTTTTTTCAAGTTATTCCTATTCTAGTGTGAGAGAGCCATGCTTCGGCACGAATGGGTCGGCTCGACCGGAGTGATACCACGGCCTCACAGAAAACCGGCGTGAAACAACCACAGCGTTGTGTTTCGCTGTGTGAGTGAGGTTACCGGAGGCCCAATCCTTCCCCTCTCCCAATCTCTAAATCTCCAAATCCCTAATCCCTAAACGGTCGGCAACGCACTCGTAACTTGTAACTCCGTTGCGGGTGTCTATGGGCGGCGCTGATTGCTTACCATCAGGTAATCCGTCTGATCGTTAGCCGACCTATTACATAAAAAAAATTGTTATTAATTTTTCTGAACTTTTAATGACTAGAGTGTACAAGCGACATTGCCTGCTTTTTCGGGATAAAAAGAATCCCTTTATACTATACTACCTTCCGCCCGCGTGTTGGATAAAAACTGTGTTAATCCAGTTAATTCAAGCTATGTACAAACCAAGCAAGTCGAGCCATCTGTTTTGCATGAAAAAATAACAAACATATCTATATTAGATAGTTGGATTCCAGACTATAACCTAACTTTGTAGGAAATTTCGTTAATATCTTTTCAGTAGTTTTCACGTGGAAGTGTAACAAGCACCCATCTATGGATTCAGATTAATTTATTTTTAAAGATGCACAAGAGAGTGAGATGTTACATTTTTGTTGGTTCTCTATGCTTGGCCATGTACCTACCGCAACACCAGAAGAGTTAAGTATAAAGCGTTGTGGGCCTTTTGGAGATTTAGACATTAGGGAGGGATGGGGAAGGATTGGGCCTCCGGTGACCTTTCTCACACGGCAAAACACAACGCTGTGTGAACTTTTTTTTTCGATGGGCGAAAATCAACGTAGGTATATCTTATCTTGCCCAGGGTCGGACTCTTGCGAGAGTGAGTGACACACTCTTACTGACTTAAAACCACTTTTGCTCCAGGCTGAGGCTGCGGTACTTTATTGACACGCAATGATTGAATGTCTGATTTCGATTTGTAAGCAAAATGAAATAACAATACTTAACTCATACACTTTTATTATTGAAAAAAGTTTCTTAATATTAGGTACAACATCATATTAGTTTTTCACGGCCTGCTCATATAACCGTCGCAGTCAGTTTACTATTATAGGGCAAAAGCGTCGTCGATCTTGTGCGACCGAGATAAAAGTTTTGGGTCCTTGGTGTGGCTCGAAAATAATCGAGTAACCTTGTTGGAACAGTTACGTGACAAAGTCGTGAAGCTCAATTTAATATGGTTTCTAATTACAATATAAAAATTTAATTAGTTACTTAATATAATGAGTACTGATAATGATGTTTACATGTGAACATTAGCTCATGACGATACCTAAGTACGTGTGTCGCCTGGACAGTCACCGCTACCATGAGTTGACTGGACAATCTCTTTACATGAGCTGCTGTTTACATGTGAACATAAGCTATTCAATATTGATTTCGATTACTTATATCATAATGACTAGAAAATCTATAAATATTAAATACCTATAGATAAAATTTTGAAAAAGTATTAAAATCCAAAAGAGTTTTACTCCTTAAACAATAAGTAGATACATGTAAAATTTAGTATATTATACAAGACAAATAATATATAACTATAGTTCGTTCCATAATTAGAGACAACGATTTGACATTTCGAGTGTTGCAAGTTTTTTCCATTTCATAAATAGTGAAGTCCCGCGACCGGTATTGACCGAAAGACCGAAATTAAATTCTGGACTTCGTGCATTTTAAAAGCTTTATTAATTGTAGCTACTTTCCGTGGTACCTTCCTGTGCCCATACTACTCAGTCGGGTTAAAATCACAATGGTAAGGAGGCAACCGTAAAATAGTGACCCCCCCTTTTAGCAGCTATCAGTCCACGACGTATCGTTCATAATTACTCTTTTCTTTCCGGGAAATCTCCAACAGCTTGGCTTTCAGCATAGGTTCCTCAAATATAATGTTTTACTTACTTTTAGCCAGTCTTGGATTTGGCATTTTAAACTAGCGGCCCGCCCCTGCTTCGCACGGGTCCAACTATCTCGCTATCAAAGGGTCACTTTTTCCCAATTTTCCCCTCTACTTTTCTGATATTTTCTTTGATAAGAACCTTCTCCTGACAATAAAAAACACAACAAAAAAAGAATTAGCAAAATTGATCCAGGCGTTGTTGAGTTATGCGCTTACCAACACATTTTGTGATCCATTTTTATATATAAAGATTATTATTATTAATTCGACTAAACTATAAAAACATCACCGCAACGTTGTTTTATTTTGCTCAGGGTATTTTATAAAAAAACGGTATCGGTATTTTATTTAAAACATCGTATTCGGGCCCATCATTATGTTAAAAAATCTGGCCACATTATTTTGTAGTTTGACATTTGCTGTTGGCAAATTGTTGTCTCTAATTATGAAAGGAACTATTGAAAAAAAACCAGCTATAAGTAGGCTTAGGCCGTTTTACATGTTTTTTTAAATAAATATTAAAAACAATGGTCAACATATTTGAAACTAGTTTCAGCTCGCGTGATACGCTGCTAAAAACCAGTAGATATTAATCCAGGTTATCACCTATCAAATATTAAATTTTAAATAAATCGGTCCAGCCGTTTTTGCTTTAAATAATAACAAACAAACATACATACAATCCAATTGAATGACAAGAACACGCACCACAATTTAAAACAGCAATGTTTTCTTATTAAGATTTTTTTTTATTTTTTACTGTGACTTGACACAATACAATAAGGATTTTAAATAATTTATAAACAATATAAATAATTAAATCAAACAATATCTACACTAGTTTGAGATTAACTTTAAACTGGTTGGTAAAAACTAGCTTATTTCGTGGATAGCTTATGTCCGACTGATTTCGAACCACAGCGGGGTGCTTAATATTTTTTTTTATCCCGTTTATAATTCTCATAGCCTTCCCTCGCCGTAAGATCGACGATAGGGGTGTATTTGTGAAATGGCGTAAAACAGTTAACTATACTCATTACAAGTTTCTCCACTTCATTGTAACATGATTTTCAGTTCTTTACCCACTGAGCAAGATATAGCACCTACCACGTTTCAGGGTCTGGTGCTATCCCAGCAACATACCGTATGCCAGACATTAAATTAAGATTTGCGATTCTCGCGTCACATCTAAATGTGGAAAACGCATCCATTAAGTCGTTACAGTCTGAGCAAGCAAAGCCGGGCGGATGATACGCTTCCATTGTATCCAACTGTGAAAAAAAGGAATATTCAGGTACTAAATAGTTAGCTAAAGTTTAAAAATATTTGGGTCAAATTTTTTTATGGTATGTTTCGGCAAACGAGCAGGTGGATTACCTGGTGGTAAGCAATCAGCGCCGCTCATGGACACCCCGCAACGGAGGTATTATGAGTGCGTTGCCGACCTTTTAGGGATTATGGCTTTGGAGATTTAGGGACTGTGGAGGGGAAGGATTGGGCCTCCGGTAACCTCACTCACACGGCGAAACACAACTGGTGTGGTTGAGTTTTTTTTTAAACTTTGCCCCACACTCGGATTTTCTTACACTAACACATGACACCAAGACCGGAACAACGAGTGCTGCCGGCCTTTTAGGGATAAGGATTTCGGATATTTAAGGATTGGGCAGGGATGGGGGAGAGAGAGGAATTGGTCCTCCGTTGACCTCACTCACACAGCAAACAACGCTGTAGTTGTTTCACGCCGGTTTTATGTACAGGCTTGGTATCACTCCGGTCGAGCCGACCCATCCGTGCCAAAACTTGGCTCTCTCACACTTACGAAATCCCATAAGTCTTTAATGGAATAGGAGGCCCAAGAGTAGACGGATTACCTGATGGTAAGCTAACAGCTCCACCCATTTTAAAACAATTGAGTTGTTTCGCCCTGTGAGTGGGGTTACCAGAGGCCCAATACTACCCTTCTTCAATCCCAAAATCTCCAAATCCATAATCCACAAAAAGTCAGCAACACACTCGTAACTCTTCCGTTGTTGCGCGGTCCATGGGCGGCGCCGATTGCTTACCATCAGGTAATCCGTCTGCTAGTTTGCCGTAAAAAATCTGCTTAACTTACCTCTTGCCCCGTGACGACTCTAAGCACCTTCGCCATTGCTGGGTATTTTATTTTGTATAAAGTTCGGTCCCGACTTAGACATATACGGCACATCTGAAAAAAACATGTTTAATTATAATTTCGAAGTGTAGGCAAATTCAGAACGCTTTTTCTTATATACGAGATACGAGCAGACGGATTACCTGATGGTAAGCAGCGCCGCCGCCCATGGACATCCACCTTTTTGGGGATTAGGGATTTGGAGATTTTGGGATTTGGGAAAGGGGAAGGACTGGGCCTCCGGTAAGCTCACACGGCGAAACACAGCGCTGTGGTCGTTTCACGCCGGTTTTTTGTTAGGCCGTGGCCATTCGGGCCGAAGCACAGCTCTCCCACACTTAGAAGCTTCGAGCTGGATTCTCGTTGTCGTTTAAATCTCGTCTCAGAGACTAAGGTCCACTGAGCTTAGAAAATATCTCCCCATATATAGGATTCCAGCACAGAGCTGATGTTCAACCGTAGTTACGAGCCAAGAGAAATGATGTACCGTGGCTTCGGCCTGCAGAGCAGGTTTGCTGTACCCGACAGGGTCGATAATGATCTTTAATATCTATGTAGGTACACATTACACCCAAAAGGAGCGCAATAAACATCTAAGTTTTTATTTTTTTTATGGAAACGTAGCCAAACGAACGGCTGTATCACCTGATTAAGTGATCTGAGCCATCCATGGACACATGCAACATCAGAGAAATCACAGGCAAGTTGCCGGCATTACGAGCCGACGGATTACCTGATGGTAAGCAATCAGCGCGCTCATGGACACTCGTAGTGCCAAAGTATTTACTACAAGTGTGTTGCCGGTGAGTCATTAGAATTGATAAGTAGGTAGATTGATTTTTTTGTATTATATTTGTATTTAAAGAATAATATTGCTCATTTTCGACGTTTCAAAAGTACCTATTTATGGTTTAGTTGGAATAAATGATTTTGACTTTGACTTTGACACTGGTCATTAGGGATTTAAGGATAGGGGAGGGGGATTGAGATCGTTTCCTGAAAGATTGAGTTACTTACATTTTTTGAAGCATCTGCACTTATAAGTATTTCATCAACCCTGAGATATGGTTTAGGTAGTCGACCACATAACTGATTAGCTAGTTGATCAGTGCCCTGATAAGGTATTTTAGCAATCCGGTGATTGGGCTGTTCAGATTCTTGCGATGTACTATCTTCCCTTGAGGATGAACCCTCAGAACCGTTTGGATCTCTTGGAATTATTTTTGCCTCTTCCATTTCGTTTTTGCTGAAAGGAAAAATACGTGTAACGATAATCGAAGTCGATCTTGATTGTTCAAGCAGTGTGGATGGGCCAACCTTTGGCACAAATGGGGCTAGCTCAACCGGAATGGTATATGGCCTCACATATTACCAATGTAAATAATTATTATAAATTTAAAAATTTAGAATACCCCCGACAAAAAATCTAACATTCCTTAAGAAAGTAATAATTAAAAAAATCGTGGCGTTGGGGGACCGATCCAAGTATTTTATTATCTACTACATATTTCTATTTTGTCGGGGTCTTTTATTTTATACTTTTATAGGTATTTTATATATTTTTATTTTGTATATCATTTTCTATCGATTAAGTCACCCCCCTATACCAATAACTTCAAAACGGCTCAACCAATTTTCGTCAAACATGTCTAAAAACACTCGCACGTAAGTCACCTTTAGTACACAAAAAACTAAATTGAAATCGCTTCATCCGTTCAGGCTCCAGGATGCCACCCACAGACACAGACAGACATACAGACAGACACGTCAAAGTTATAACCCCCCTCTTTTCCGGTCGGAGGTTAAAAAAGCTTCTGTTGTGAGTGATGTTAACGGAGGCAATTCCTTCCTCCTCCCATCTCTAACAGCCAACCAAAGGCCACCAATGAACTTTTAACTCCACCATAGGAGTTACGTAAAGTTAGTTCATTGTTGGCCTTTTGTTGGGGGTTCTATGGATTTTTTCCACCAAAAGAGTTACGACTGCGTTGCCGGCCTTTTTGGCATAAGGGTTGCGGATATGAGGATTGGGAAGAGATAAGAGATGGGGAGGGATCACACGGCGAAACACGCCCTTGTTTCGAGCCGGTTTTCTGTGAGGCTTCGGTCGAGCCGAAGCATGGGCTCTCCCACACTAGTTAAAGTCACCAATGCGGTAGTTTTCAACTAGTCAAATTCAATACTTTTATCCAAATGTCAAAAAGGATATTTTTCTTTGAAATTTGTATAGAAAAACAGAGTTATGACGTCATAGTATTTTACGTCAAATAGCGTATTTATTTTTGAAAAATTAGCTTAGAAATATTTAAAATTTAGTGTATCAATCGATCGATTAATTAAAGTACCTATAGTTATTTTTTTAATATTTTAATGTATTGAAACGTCGAATTAATTTATTTTAGACCAAGGAAACTATCCAATTGATGTAACCGTCTGAAGTAGGTAAGTTACAAGATCTGAAAATGGCACGGTGAGTTTTTCTTAAAGGCCTCTACCTCAAATATAAAAATTCTAGCTGTTACACATTATTTTACTTGAGCAGTAGAAGAAAAATGTTGCTGGCATTTTACTATCTTTCTACCTATCTGGTGGGATATTTTGAATGAAATAAATCAATCTTTGGGAAAATACTTCATATACACATATTGGTAAAAGAAAACAAAATTATTGCTGTATTCACTCATTGCTTGCATTCTTTTTTTTTTATTTTTTTTTACATGTTCTTTTACATATATTTACATTTTATTTTACATGATCTTTAACAGCATTTATTAAACTCAATGAAGATGTTCTGGTAGAAAAACCATCGAATAATCCCAATTATATTAAACTAGCTAATCTCGCGCAGTTTCACCTGCTGCTGGGCTCCATTTGATTGTAGCGTCATGTTTTATACCTATAGCACTCAGGAACATTGTAGTTATCTATCAGTGAAAGAATTTTGGCAATCCAACCAGCTGTTGCATAGATTACCCTACATACAAACTTTAAAATTTTACCTCACTTTTACTACACTTCCAAGATTTACCAGAAAGCGCGACAAAATTCAATCCTCTAACAACATTGCAAGTAATTGTAAAGTAATACCCGTAGATATACAAAATGCTATAACAAAAAGTATGTAAAAATGAAACTAAAGTCTTACTTTATGCAGCTTTTGGAATACTGATATTATATTGGGAATATAGTTACCAATATCCTAAATGTAATGTACCTACATAAATAAGTAAATATTCCTTGTTAATAGAATTAAACCTATATCTAACAATCTTGATGTAAACTAGTAGTAGCATTAATTACAAACTTCAGTAGTATATGATAATATGTATACCTATTCATGTTTTTGTTTTTTAAATGGTACTTAATAAAAAAAAAAAGACTAAAGTTACGGCAGTCAGAGATTGGGCAATTGGGTAGTTTCCTGGGTCATAAATAAATTAATTCAATTTTTCAATACAATAAAACATTGAAAATAACTATACTTTTATTCATTGATTGATCGATACTCTATTGGAGATAGAATAGAATAGAATTTTATATTTCCTTTTGAGATACAGTATACGAATACAAAATTAAATTTTTACCAGCTAAGGAACAATTTTACATATTCTATAAGTTTTTATTAACACTGTTTGTTAGGAAGGTATATATAAAAAGTAACAGGAATACATACTTAACTACCCAAGACATTTTGTAGCTAAATATTAAGTAAGCTATTAGATGCTATAATAGTATACTATGACGTCATAACTCAGTTTTTCATACAAATTTCATAGAAAAGTATCGTTTTTGACATTTGTATAAAAGTATTGAATTTGACTAGTTGTAAACTACCGTATTTATTGAGACATCAAAATTAATTTTATAGATCATAATAGACAAGTTAGTCAACTCAGCATACTGTGCTCTTTGGTTTTGTATTGCGGACATCAAAAGAGTTTAAACAAACATCCACCATATTATTACTGCTGCATAATAGCTATGTATGCAGCCAATTAAATTGTTATGTATTCTCTGTTTTTTTTTTATGTAATTGGTCGGCAAACGAGCAGACGGATTACCTGATGGTAAGCAATCAGCGCCGCCCATGGACACTCGCAACGGAGGAGTTACGAGTGCGTTGCCGACCTTTTAGGGATTAGGGATTTGGAGATTTAGGGATTGAGGAGGGATTGGGGAAGGGGGAGGGGAAGGATTGGGCCTCCGGTAACCTCACTCACACGGCGAAACACAACGCAGTGGTTATTTCACACCGGTTTTCTGTGAGGCCGTGGTATCACTCCGGTCGAGCCGACCCATTCGTGCCGAAGCATGACTCTCCCACACTTAAATATTCTCTGTTGGAGTTTCTAATAAAATAAATAAATATTCTGTAATTTATATCCTAGGTATCTCGGCCAATCCTATCTAGCTGGGGTGCAAGCGCTGAGTAGAAGGTAGGAGTCTGATAAGTCAGGAGAAACTATTTAATGATTTTTCCTAATCATAAAAAAAGGTTTATCTGCCTACCTCTTCCGTTAAAAACTAAAACTTTATGTTACTTTAAATATATTCCAAATGCAGCGTCGTGGTGCGCAGCTTTTTTCAAGATTACTTCTTTTACACGTACGACGTATGTAATTATCTCTTAGGAACTATTTTTAGTCGTTTTTAATAAATAAATAAACCATAAGAATATACTTAAATTAAACTAATACTTTAGTGTTTTATCATTTTAATTGCGTTTTAATATTGACTTTGACTCGATCACCGTTCTTTTTTTAAATTACGTAGGTACCTACGATGTTTTACGATAACATTAGTTTTCGCTACGCATAGTTTTCGCTTTGCATCAATTAGAATACTAATAAATAAACAAAAAATTGCATTTTCGTTCCTTACCGATTCAAAATGCCACTGAAATCCAAAATGTCACTAGAATTCACTGGATTATTAAAATTTTATGAACGTTCGTAAGAATGCAATGTCCGTCTATGCAACAGAGTGCACTGACGAGGAAATCGATAAATCAGCGCAACTAACTCGTGTTGTCCGCGCAAATTTTATCAATTATCTAGAATTATTATAGGTGTACGTATCAACCGGTCACAGATTTACAGTTTGTTTATATTTTGATTTTGATATTGACATTGATGAAAACTGAATGAATATTTGTGTTGACGTAGAATTGAATGAATGATAAACAACTGTTCCTGCGCCACCGGATTCTTTCGCTTCCGAAAGGTTGGTAACATTATATTATTGAATAAAAAAATTGCTTTATTTAGATTCTCTTTTTGATTTACAAATGCCTTTTAATTTTCTTACTAAACAAAAGTATTTGAATAAAAACAGACTTGTTTAAATAATATTAAATACTTCAAAGAAAAGTAGTAATTAATTAATAAATTAAAGAAGAAATCAAATGATACTGGCAACTTTTGCATAGTACGTTGCCATTAGCTGGCACGTTCTCAGTACGAAATTACGAACATCTAAATGGCGCCAAAATTACTAAATATTTGGCGGCAAATTACTTACGCACGCGTCGTCCGTCGTTCCCGCGCGGATTCATTCATTTCATTGCAATTCGCAGAATCGCAGAAACCATTTTTTGAAGTGTTTGTTTATAGGTATCTATTATTTGAGTTTATGAGTTTAACGAATAGATACAATTCAATAAATTTTACCAAAAAACAGTGCATAAGCAACTAGAAGAGCGGCAAAGGTAAGATGTGTTAATATTTTGGATTTGAAATATAAAATTACCATTAGCTAGCTATCAAAGTACCTAGTACCTAGGTTTTTCGTTTGGATTACCAAATCTAGTAGAGAGAGTATCTTCGGAGGAACCTCATTACCGGATCCCCGCAATGGGATCTGGAAGCGAAGGTGCTCGCGCGACCAGATTAGTGCGTGGTGGAATAATCTCCGGCGCGAACTCATGGCGGAGTGGAAGCAGCCAGTGTCTCAACTGAAGGCCGGGCACGCTGTTATAGCAGCCTTAAGGCCCTTCTTTGAGGAATGGCTAGAGGGATGCGGCCGCAAAGGTGTAGGTACTTACCTTGCGCCTGACGCAGGTCCTTACCTTACCGAACACTGTAGTTTCGGGAGGTACTTTTTCGGATCCGGCGGGAGCAACCGCCCGGGTGACGTCGTTGTGAGGACCACCCAGAGGACACAGTGGTGCATGTGGTGGCGGTGGCGACCTCTCGCGCCCGGCCTTAGTCTAGACCATGGTGTGGAGCGAGAGGAACTGGGAAGCCGCCTCCTTTTTCTGCGAAGCAGTGATGCTCGCAAAAGAGGCGGAGCGGTTGAGGGACCTATCCTCCTCACGCACCAGCCGCTGCAACGACGGAGGAGTTACGAGTCGAGTGCGTTATCGACCTTTTGGGGATTAGGGGTTTGGAGATTTTGGGAAAGGGAACGGATAGGGGTAGGGGAAGGATTGGGCCTGACGTTAAGCCATAGTTACAAGCCAAGAGAAATGATGTGCACATGGCGAAACACAACACTAGTTGTTTCACGCCAGTTTTCTGTGTGGCCGTGGTATCACTCCGGTCGAGCCGACCCATTCGTGCCGAAGGACGGCTCTCCCACGTTTTAATTAATCATTTTTTACCATTTTATTTTAATATCACACTTTAGTTTATACAAGAATTTGAATGTGAAAGTTGATATGGTAATCCGTGCCGCTAGACCACTCTTTAAACAAAGTAAATGTACGCGAGATTAAGAATTTACGGTTGATATTATTGATGTTTTTTGAGTTAGAGGTAGGTTAATAACTTAATATACATATTCTTCAATGTTTCGCAGATGAGCTGCCGCCGTAACCTGCGGCAAAAGCCTCGAATATGTTACTATGAACCCGAGGAGCCAAGTTTGGACGAGTATATATGTAAGTAAAAAATATTATAAGTAGGTATTTATAATTAATTAATTAAAAGGCATAACTGTTTTTGAATAGGTAATCATATCCATTATTAGCGTTAACAAAAAATGTAGGTATACATTAAAAACATTTAAGCATAGGATTTGAGGATCTTGGGGGAAGATTGGGCTCCGATAACCTCACTCACATGGCAAAACACAGCGTAAGTGTTGGTTCACGCCGGTTTTCTGTGTGGACGTGGCCGCTCATTCGTGCTGAGACCATGGCTCTCCGACACTAATTATATAAATATCTACATATAATATTATAATAAATATCTATTGTTGTCAGTTTGCGATGAGTGCGCCGACTTTGTATACGAGTACTGCGCCATTCACGGCCCGTTGCTCGTCGTTCCCGATGACAAGGTAAGTAGGAGGAGAAAAAACGGGTGAAAATTCCAAACGTACTACAAAAAAATTTTTTTTTGTATGTACGTAGGTAAGTTTGTTTCTTACTATTTAACGATTTACGACCTTATTGGTGTAGTTTTTAACCGTCAGTATTACAAAGCACCTATGTGTAGCCCCATATTAACTACTAGCTACTCCCGCGCAGTTTCACCAGCTGCTCTTCACCATTTGATTGTAGCGTGATGTTTTATAGCCTATAGCACTCGGGAAAATTGTGACCAGTATTTCAAGATTACTCCCTACATACAAACATACAAACTTATGAATTTTATCTCTTTATATTATTAGTATAGAAGTATAGAAAAAGCGATATCTTTTGCTAGAGTGTTTTCCCAAAAGAGTGTAAACTAGATGACTTCAAGGCCCTTGTGAATATATTACCTACTGCTTGCCATGCTTCATACAAAAATAACGACTTTCTCACGTGAATTGATCGAGAAAAGCTCAACTAAATAGCTTTAAGTCATGATCATGCATAAAATGTTAATTAAAAAAAAAATTTACAAAATAAAAAAACCGCCTTCAAAAAAAGTCAAGCAATAAAAGTTCCTACACTAAAAAGTAAAAAATAACAATTTGAATTACTGTAAAAAAACTTAATTTATAGGTAAACTTATTTGACATTAATATTTTGCAAATATTCAAAATTTATTACTTATTTTTGGAGTCGGTGCCAGCATTTTGATGTTGAAACTTAATGTTAGTTAGGTTTTTAATATCCGGTGCCATTTTTCGTACATAATGCTTAAACATTTTCAATGTACTTAAAATGTTTTTGTAAGTACATATTTTTTATTTAAAAAAATGTGCAAATCGGACATTTTTTGTAGAGAAGTCTAATCTGTATTTATGTCTTAATTAATATACCTATATTTGAGTATGCAAATAGGTATTAAGTAGTTTTATAATTAAGTAAGAGGTAGTTTTTCAAGGGATTGTTGCCCATTTGTATTTCCTTGCATGGGCTGGCACCGACTCCAAAAATAAGTAATACATTTTGAATATTTGCAAAATATTAATGTCAAATAAGTTTACCTATAAATTAAGTTTTTTTACAGTAATTCAAATTGTTATTTTTTACTTTTTAGTGTAGGAACTTTTATTGCTTGACTTTTTTTGAAGGCGGTTTTTTTATTTTGTAAAATTTTTTTTTATTTGTAGCCGTTTAGTGTTTTTTTTTTTTTATTATAATGTGTTATGGCAAAGAAGTCAATATCGTTCCTACATTTCTTTTGAAAAAGTTACCAATGTCATACTTATACGTAGAAATACATATCATAGTACATTGTTACTGTGTAATCGTTTTGATCTCGAGGAGAGATGATATGATGCATGAGATACTTATGACTTATAGTTAAAATAAAATAATAATCTTATCATAAATTCATATTAGTTCTCGCCAAATAACAAAAAACTAGATATTTTCATCAACAGACAGATAAAGTTCAAAGATACCAAATGCAATCTAATTTAGTATCTATGATTAAATACATTCGTACATAGAAAAAAGACCGATGCAATTATTGTTTTGTATCAATTGTAACCCATTAAATGAAGAATACTATTTTGTTATTACTAAGAACATTCATATATAGACAAGTTGGTAAAAATATAAAAGACCATCGCTATTGTAAATATACATTTATGACTCATTCAATGTATGAACCTTTTCTAAGTAAGTATTATCTACATATGTGCACACAAAAGAAACACAATTATTGTTTTGTACGACGCAATTATTGTTTTGTAACCCATTTAAAACGACTGTTTTGTTAAAAATGCCAATTAATTCTCTTAGCCTATTACCAGGAAAACGATAAGAACACAATGACGCATTTCACCACTAATGTGTAAACGCAGTCCACGTGGACTAATGCAAAATAGCCAATACTAGGCCAAACTCCGCCCCCAAAGGTGTGCGGTCCCGCTCTAGAACCTTTCGGCCCCATCGGCCATCTGTTCTACGAGCAATGTGCCGTGCCCACTGTCACTTAAGTTTGGCATTTCTTCGGGCTATGTCGGTGACGCTGGTTCTTCTGCGGATTTCTTCATTTCTGATTCGAACATGCACGGAAACTATGAGCATAGCCCTTTCCATTGCTCTTGACAGCTCTAATAAGCTTACACAATACTAGGCCCCATGCCAACCTTCCAGCTTCATCATCACATCAGTTCAATAGTACCTTACAGCCAAAGTGCATCTTATAACAATTCTAACAAGCCCAAACACGGCTAGGATATATTAATTAGGTACGCAGTTCCAGTGCCTACCTTCCAGCTCCATAATCATCATTAAATCAGTTCGATGATAACATTTCCAACATAATTATTTAAGATCATTGGTTTACAGTGCATTTTCATAGTTGCTGAACTACCTTGATTGTGATATCTATGCGAGTGTCAAGTTTCATCATCCATTTCTGATCTTCTTCACCAGTTCCACCTCATCAAACATTACTTTTTGACTGTAAATGCTTGAGTGCTCTATGAAAATATTAAAATTACTATATAGTTGCCTATAATATTTGAGGAGTTCCCTCGATTTCTCATGGATCCCATCATCAAAACTTGATTTTGAAAAGAATGGGACCAATCTGGAAGCATATCCTTTCAATCATAAAAAAAAATTTGCAAATCCGTCCATAAACGACGGAGTTCTGAGGTAACAAACATAAAAAAAAAAAAAAAAATACAATCGAATTGAGAACCTCCTCCTTTTTTTGAAGTCGGTTAAAAAGAGTCCCATTGTGACTTGATACTAGTTGGGTTTTCCTCAGTTAATTCACATAAGTCGTTATCTATACCTACTAATATTATAAAGAGACAAATTTGTAAGTTTGTATGTAGGGGGTACCTAATCTTTGGAACCGCTGCGCTGGTCGGATTGCCAAAATTCTTTCACTGATAGATAGCTACAATGTTCCTGAATGATGTAGGCTATAAAACATCACGCTACTATCAAATGGAGCCGAGCAGCGGGTGAACCCACGCCAGAATAGCTAGTTTTCAATAAATTAAGGCGAACTTCATCATAAATCGTATCATCGCTTAGCAACAAGCGAGATAGTAGCCCACGGACAATAAAAAAAATGGAAATCCATATCAACGCAGTTATGGAGCGTTCGCTCAAAGACCGGCCTCTGTTCTATCCACGCACAGAATACTTATTTGTGTGATCCGCAAATGTGGATCTTTATGCGGTCTTGAAATGATTTGATTATAAAAAAAATGGTACAGGTCGGCAAACAAGCAGACTTAATTGTACCTGATGGTAAGCAATCGGCGCCGCCCATGGACCCCTTCAACACCAAAGGAGTTACGAGCGCGCTGCCGGCCTTTTTCCGTCGCCCTTTCCCTTTCTGTCGCTTAAAACTGCCATTTGCTAGACTGAGACAGAAAGCATAATGCGATAGCAAGCGGAAGAATCGTCGAGGTGATCGGCATCACGGACAAAATGCAATGGTCGGCAGGGAGAGTCCGGAACGCTGAGGCGTGCGATAGCATGCTAACGTATCCTTTTACCTTTTTGTGCGATCGCCTTTTTTGTCTGCGGAATGCGATAGCGCGCGTTCGCATGCGGCAGCATACTGCAGCACGTGGTAGCACAGGCGGAACAAATGCGATTCCGTGCTGCCAGATGAGGTCCAACCCTTAGGGGTTACGGGTTTCGCATATTTAAGGATTAGGAAGGGATCGGGAGAGGGGGAGGGATTTAGAGTCCGGTAACCTCACTCACACGGCGAAACACAACGACGCCGTGGTTGTTTCACACCGAATTTCTGTGAGGCCGTGGTATCACTCCGGTCGAGCCGACCCATTCATGCCGAAGCATGGCTCTCCCACACTTAAACACATCTACTTAATGTGTCTTTGAAAGTTTAGTTCGCTGTGTGGTAAAGTAAATTCGTGGATTATATTTGTTCTGCCTTTATCGCTGATGTCGTGGGTAAGTTTTAACTGAGAGACTTGGGGGCAGCGCTCTCTGATAACCTGAACGTCTTTTTTGATCTCCAAACTGCTTGTCAAGCGCAGTTTTATATGAGATAGGTCAGCAAGTGAGGTGACGGATCACCTGACTTGATGGTAAGCAATATGCGCCGTCGATTGCTAGAGAAGTGTGGACGGGAAGGATTGGAATGTATTTATCCCTTTGATATAGATAAGGCTCATAGTAAGGGCGGTTTAAGTGTGGGAAAGCCATGCTTCGACACGAATGGATCGGCTCAGATTGGCTCGACCCGAGTGATACCACGGCCTTCCACAAAACCGGCGTGAAACAACCACAGCGTTGTGTTTAACCGCGTGATTGAGGTTACGCGATACCGAATCCTTCTTTCGATCTCTTAATCTCAGAAATCCTAATCCTTAAAGGCCGGCAACGAACTCGTAACTCCACTGGTGTCGCGGGTGTTCATTATAAATGATTCTTCACATTAAGTTCACAATATTTCCTCACCTCAGGTCCCATCCAAAAGTCCCTTCCCGCCTTATGTTCCACGCGCCGCACTCACTATTCCACACGTTTTCCTACACTTAGCACCATCGATAATACCTGGTATGTATCCATAGAGTATGTATTAATATAGACTAGCTCCTATCGCCGAGCTTGGTTAGCGTCTGGAGTCCGAAAATGCTTAATAAAATGAAGTTCTAAAGGATTATGAAGAGGACTTCATCCATCCAACTCGTGGTTGGGCGAATAATCCCAAGCAACACTGTCTACCAAGTGTCTACCTACAAATTTCCAAATTACACTAAGAGTTGTTGGATTTAATTTTTATATAGAATTATCGGTAATTCCTTCAGTTTAGCACTAAGCACAGGGTTTATAATTGCCGCCAATTCTTGTACATGGGACTGTTTCATCAAATAAAATAATAGAGAAGTGGTTGAGGATGCAAGTTCAGTCAAGGTCCAATATGGCAGTTCTGTTGCATAATAATATGAATAATAGGAAAATGCAAAAAATATGCAAGAGGCGTTTAATGATAAAAATCTAGTCATTACTTTTTCAATAAATCAGAATCTATGTATGTTACAATTTGAATGTCAAAAAGCTACAATTGCAAAATATAGGTATTCTTTTTTTGGGGCGAGAGATAGTTTCAGACTCTTACTGACTAAAAACCTCTTCTCTTCTCTTCCCCTATTCCGAGAGGGAGGGGTGGGGGGGTACCTACATTATTGCGGTACCTGCAATCCCGGCTTGGAACTATTGACCCCTGACTAAATGTACACCTCTGGCTTAGCTCTACGGGGATTAAAAATCATGATGTTATATAGAACAGTAAGTTTTATAAAAAAATTTTAATGTTCAGGCGCTGGTCTCGGAGTTTTCAGTACATTGACGCTCCCTCGAGGAGTGCGCTTCGGTCCGTATTGTGGAGTGCGCACTCAACATGTGGATTCCATGTATTGTTGGCAGGTAAAAACTCTCGCTTGTAGAGAGATAATTTTTTATCCTTAGTTCGATAAACCGCTAAAGTGTTGTGATAAAAGTGCTTTGAAAGAAAAATCATATAAATAGCATGATCTCTGCTGTAACATATATTGCGAAGAGTTATAACGAATAGAAATAAACGAAAATCACTATCGATATTTCTTGCTATTGTCAATGCCAGTAATCTTAATAATGGTCAACCTTCTTCTTCTTCTTATAAATGAAAATGAATCGCTGTTCGTTAGTCTCGCTACAACTCGAGAAAGGCTGAACCGACATGGCTTAGGTATTGTGGTCTTGAAATTTTGCTTGATATACAAGGAAGGTTTAAAAGGTCAGTGCATATGACTTAAAAAGAAAAAAAAATATTCGATGTGGGACGAGGTTTGCTGGGACAGCTTGTATAACATAATTATTATGTAAGTACCTAGTGTAGATATACTCATCTAAATTAATATTATAAATGCGAAAGAAACTCTGTCTGTCTGTCTTTTCTTCACGCCTAAACTACTGAACCTATTTGTGTGAAATTTGGTGCAGACACAGGTTGGAACTCGAGAAAGGACATAGGATAGATCGATTTTCAAACCAAAAATCCTCAGGAAGTCACAATTTCACGCGAACAAAGTCGCGGGCAAAACTAGTGCTTACTCTATAAATATCTTTTAAACCAGAGGTAAAATTAGTATAAACTACAGATTAAACATCTCACCAAGTGGGGCGCCACACCATTTTATAATTATAATAATTTCCTCAGATATACGATCGTAACCAAAAACGTTCGCATGTGGTGGACGCGGCAGACGCAAATCGTTCTAACTGGATGCGCTACGTCAACTGCGCTCGGAACTGGAAAGAGCAGAACTTACTAGCTTACCAATATCAAGGACAACTTTATTATAGGTGGGTACAGTAAAATCTATAATTACTACCTGAACGCGCTAATCTCTGCAACTATTGGTTCGAATTTAATATTTCTTTTTGTGTCTATCAGTCCATTTATCGGGGAAGGCTAGGCTATAAAACATTATGCCTATGATATGTTGTAAGATTAGGGTTACAAAGATTTGGGGAGGGGAAGAAAGTTAACTAAAAATCGCGGGTTAATCACGTGTATAAATTGAGAAAAGCTCTACTAGTTTCGAACCACAGAGGGGTTCTTCCTCATGAGCAGCGTGCGCGGACGCGGCGACGTCGCGCAGCCTACTGAGCAGAGTAGGCTATACCTACACGTGAGTAACCCGCGATTTTTAGTTAATTTAGTATGTCTCACGATAGTTATTATAAAAACAGGGGAAGAAAGATTGGACCTCCGGTACCCTCACTCACGCGGTGAAACACAACGGTGTGGTTGTATCACGCCGGTTTTCTGTGAGGCCGTGCCAATTGGCATCACTCCGGTCTAGCTGATCCATTCATGCCGAAGGATAACTATCACACACTTATTATATTTTCAGGACGATAAAAATAATTCCTCGTTTCACGGAACTTATGGTTTTCTACGGGAGTGAGTTCGCGAACACACTGCGTATCAACCTCAGCAAATATAACTCGCCGCCCGGATACGCCCAGAAATTCGGTTTGTATTAAATATCTTATAATCTTAAGCATTAAAATAATGTCTACATACAAACCATGAAGCAAACATACAAACACAGGCAGACAGGTTCGATTCCCTGATCGGCTATTATGAGTATTATAATGGATTTTCCGAAAACTCTTCTAATAATACCTATATAATACATATAATAAATATCTTTATTTTTTATTAGAACGATCAGTTTTTGATTGGAGCCTAGTTTTAAGCTAATAATACTTGTATATTAGTAGACTTCATTCTTCCACATCAAGAAATCTTCACACATTACATACCTATCTATCAAAATAGAAAGCGTAGTAGGTAATTTTGAACTAAAAGCGAAAATCGTATTTTTTTTTAATATTATGGAATAAAATAGGTGCACCGGCTACAAAGAAACCGAGATTGGACATTCAAAAAGAGAAAATTCAAGAAGAAATACCAGATAAGAGCAAATGCAGTTTACAAGTAAAACATCAAGGAAAGGTAACTTCGAAAAAAAACATCAAAAAATCCATTTGTAAAAATAAAAAAGCTATTCAAACTATTTCTGTACGAAACGACATTACTAATGAAAATAATTCTGAACCCACACAATGTACCCTGATTAATGAAAACAATAACACTATTAAAAATAAAGAATTACAGAACGAAAATAGTTCTCTGCCTATACAATGTCCCGTTATAATTAATAAATATGACTTACAATGTAAAATATGTAATTATAAAGGTGCTAATAATCATGATATCAATAGACATAGCTTAAAACACAATTATAATAAAGAACGTCCATTTAAATGTGATGTTTGTGAGAGGAGTTTTATTCAAAAAAATAGTTTGGATACACATATTCGTGTACACACTGGTGAGAAACCATATAGATGTGATATTTGTGAGAGGAGTTTTAGTCAAAAAGGTGATTTGATAAAACATATTCGTGTACACACTGGTGAGAAACCATATAAATGTGATATTTGTGAAAGGAGTTTTAATCAAAAACAAAATTTGGATAAACATATTCGGGTACACACTGGTGAGAAACCATATAAATGTGATATTTGTGAAAGGAGTTTTAGTGAAAAACAAAGTTTGGATAAACATATTCGCGTACACACTGGTGAGAAACCATATAAATGTGATATTTGTGAGAGGAGTTTTAGTCAAAAACCACATTTGGATACACATATTCGTGTACACACTGGTGAGAAACCATATAAATGTGATATTTGTGAGAGGAGTTTTAGTGAAAAACGTAATTTGGATACACATATTCGTGTACACACTGGTGAGAAACCATATAGATGTGATATTTGTGAGAGGAGTTTTAGTCAAAAACCACATTTGGATACACATATTCGCGTACACACTGGTGAGAAACCATATAAATGTGATATTTGTGAGAGGAGTTTTAATCAAAAATCTAGTTTAACTACACATATTCGCGTACACACTGGTGAGAAACCATATAGATAAATGTGATATTTGTGAGAGGAGTTTAACAACTATCAGTTATTTAAAAACTCAAATGCGTATACATGCTTGCAAATAAAATAATAATGGGGTTTGATCAAGTTAGATCCTATGTAGATATGATTATAGATTGAATCACTTAAGCGACTGCTTGGATTTAGAAGCTGGATCTTATTTTATCCTGTGGTTTGGAAGAACGGTTGGATTTTCGATGATACCCGGGTTTATAGATAAGTTGCCGGCCTTTTGTAGATTAGGGTTTCGGAGATTTAAGTATGGGGGGGGGGGGGAAGGGTTGGGCGTCCGGTAACCTAATTCACATGGAAATAAACAACGCTGTGGATGTTTCACGCCGATTTTCTTTGAGAAATTATTATGGAACGACTGATTGTGAGAACCAACAATTGTTGTAAATCACCCAAGACAAGAATCAGGGTTCGTTTTTACTGTGAGGAAAATACGAGTAGATAGATATAGCGTGAAGGATTGTCGAGACTTACTGACTAAAAACCCCCATTATTGCTGCAGGCACCTTATGTGCCCTAGCATTGGCCCTGTTCTCTGTTAGCTCTTTGAGGAGTGCGCGGAACGCTTCGCGCCGTACACTCTGGTCGGGCGGCGAGCTACCCTGGCAGTCCTGGCACACCGACTACAGACCCTCGCGTGGAGTCTTGCCTTCTGGGTCGTAAGGAGGATAGTTCTCTCACGTGCTCCACTTTTTCCTTTGCGAGCATCACTGCTTTGCAGAAAAACGAGGCGACTAGCCAGTTCCTCTCGCTCCACACCATGGCCTCGACTAAGGACGGACGCGAGAGGTCGCCGCCACCGCCGATCACTTTCCTGAGGACTAAGCGAGGCAACACCGCTACTATACGCGGTGTATGGTCCACCTTACCCTCCGGGTGGTCCTCACAATGACGACTCGCCATGGCGTCTATCAAGCCACTTCTCAGAGGGGTCTTACCGCCGCTATAACAGCGTGCCCGGCACTCGATTGCAACAGACGTTGCTTCCACTCCGCCATAAGTTCGCGCCGGATCACACTATTACCCCGGCGACGCGCGTTAGCGCAATAACTGTAGACGCGCGCAAGCGCCTTCCGGCAAAGAGGTTAGCTGCCTCCCCGGAGATCGTGCTATAGCAATGGATGATTATTATTGCCGCCGCCGCCGTCGCCTCATGTCCGGCGAAATAAGAGCTTTCGGCGACATGTAAACTACCTTATGGCATAAGAGAATATAAGGGTGGGCGAGTCCCGATAATCGCTACAAAGGGGGTTCATTTTATGTGCATTTCTGCTAATTGTATTGACATGAAAAACGTCTGGACCAATTGCGCCGATTCTTTAATTTTCATGTTGTTGTTTGGTATTAACAGGAGAAGGTATCTTATGAAGAAGAAAATATTACAAAAGTGAAGTGGGAAAATCGGGAAATAGCGACCGTAGATGGGTTATTCTTCACATCAATTAAAAAAAATGTAATAATGTCATTATCCTCAACCGAAAATTAACGAGTCTGCTGATTAAAACACAGAAAATTATTTTATTAAATTAAATCTCACCACTGCTTACAAGCAACCGATTAAAAATATTGTATAAAATAAATTACTAAGATGCTTAAAAACCTGGGAGGATAATGACTTGTTAAATAAAAGTTAAGGTTTTTTGGTGAATCACCCATCGTTAGCGACGTAGTTTCGGACCCGTGCGAAGCAGGTGCCTTTTGTTTCTACCTAAATTGTCATGTAATGAATTAGTAGGTAAAGGAGATGAATGACGGACCACGTTATGGTTAATGGTCCCGGAGAGTCTATGTTTCTGGGATAAAGTACCTTGGCCCCGGCCTGAAGCAGGAGAAGGAACCGAGTGATTTTTGTCAGTAAGATTCTGACAAACCGTATCGCCACCACATCGGGAGGAAGATGATTTTTTCCACTTCAATAATTCGCTGGGTTCAGGTCGCTTCCAACTGAAAGTCGTTGGGAGAGGCCTATTAGAGGCAGAAGATATCTTAAACTTTGCCCCACACTAGAATTTTCTTCTGTGTGCGGTTGTGGCATGTAATTTCACGCCTAGACCTACCCAGATGTCCTTATATCGATCGATCTAATATATCGTTCAAATAAAAAGTATAGAAGGTATAAAGAGGCCGGCAACACATTTCTTAGGTATGCGATTGGTGAGTCTATACTTAGGTGGAGAACATTGCAGCTCTATCAAAAAAAAAAGATAATTTGAGAAATGTCTCTCAATTTTAAAGTGTATGTACTTCTTGCGATATTTATTTTGTTTTATAACTGATATTTCTAGTTAATTTTATTTGAAAAATTCTAGCTTATAGGTAGGTATTTTGATTAAACTTGTTATTATTTTTATCACTTTACCCAATTTACTTAAATACCTACTAGTTTGATAGTTGTTATTCTAAAATAAGTAGCCACTTATTAATTTCTAAGTAGGTACCTGGGTGGACCATAAGAAATATAATGAAATATTAGTAGTAGTACATAACCTAGACATAATTTTTAAGTTTGCAAATTGTTTTAGTTCTTTGAAAATATAATTTTAATATAAGGCAAAGTATGTTTAATATACCTATATTTTTTAATGTTTTAAGATGGTGGACCTGATTTTTTTAGTTATACGCAGCTAAGCGATTTTTTTGTAAATTTCCAAGTTACCTTCTTACCTCATGGGGTATCTAATGGAAATAGTTACTTAGGAATAAAATGGTGGTCCTGATTGTTTTTTTTTCTTTTCTGTAAGGATATTTAGTAATTTTGTTTGTTAATTTCATTTAAAATGTTTGAAGTTATTTTCATTTTCATGCTTTCTTTATTTTGACGAGTTTCTTATCTACTCAATTTTAATTTTTATTCTTATTAAACTTTGGTATTGTCAACTTTTTGCATTAGACATAACTAACTTATTTGGAACAATAAACTTTTTATTTATTCTTTTGTATTATTAATTTTTACAACCACTGATTATACCTACTGATTACCCACTACTCAGCGAAGTTATTTGGTAAACAGGCTAGAAGTTGTTTCGGGGACTGAGTCACCCTCGTCCGTAAGAGAGCACCCCTTTATTGAAAAACCTTTACGTAGGCTCCCTTCGGTGCAAATCAGGTGACACTGACTTCTAAGACCACCTACGGAGCTAAACCAAGCGGCCTTGATAAGTTCCGTCCGTCACGATGCTCGGTGACACCGTAGGTAAGTATTCCTGGATGTGTTGAAACGATTGTTCCACTGCAGGCTGACCAATCTGACGCGTGCTGATGTAGTAGGTAGGTAGCATCGAGCTGCGGGCACGATGTACCACTAGTCAACAGCAAATAGGGGTGCGAGCTACATCTGAAAAGCTGCACCGCGATGTATCAAAAATCCCATGGATACAATAGAGCCCAATCCGTGGGAGGGCTCGGGCGTCCCCGCGGTCCAACGTTGTGACTAGCTCCCGTGCACGACAGGGGTTGTCTATGTAGAAAGTTAGGTACCTACCTACTTTACTGCCATCCCTTCGGCAAAATTCCTT